AATTCATTGAAGCGTTTTTGGCAGGACATGGATCTGTTCAATGATTATGAATGGAAATCCACTGAAGATGCCAATCACTACAAACGGACCGTGGAGGCTCAACGCATTTACAAATTCCTTACTGGGCTCAACATGGAATTTGATGAAGTATGAGGACGGATCATTGGCAGGACTCCACTTCCTCCAATTAGTGAAGTGTTTGTTGAGGTTCGAAGAGAAGAGAGCCACAGACATGTAATGTTGGGGAATAAGAATACCAGTGGACCTGTTGAGAGTTCCGCCCTTATTGTTGCAGAGACTGCTACTAATAAAACAGTCAATTTTCAGCGAAAAACTGAAGAGAAGCCACAGGTCTGGTGCGACTTCTGCAACAAACCGCGCCATACTCGGGAGAACTGCTGGAAAATCCATGGAAAACCAGCGAATTGGAAGAGTAGCAAGCCTGGTGATAGATATAGGTGTGCGGTTCCTACTGTTAATGAAGCTGAGACAAGTCCCTTAAGTAAGGAGCAGATGGATCACCTTTTTTAGTTTTGCTCCTGTAGCCGAGATAAACTCAATTAGAATTTTGTTATCTTTGGTTATGAATTTCAGCCGGCCATTACACCAGTTAGATGTAAAATATGTCTTTTTAAATAAAGATCTTGAGGAGGAGGTCTTTATGAATCTACCACTTGGGTTTGAGGGAAAATTGGGACCTAATAAAGTCTAAAAAAATCTTTATATGGTCTCAAATAGTCCCCTAGAGCTTGGTTTGAGAGATTTGGGAGAGCTGTGAAGAATTGTGGCTACTGTCAAAGCCAAGCTGACCATACCATGTTCTACAAACACAGTAGAGAAGGCAAGGTTGCAGTGTTAATTGTCTATGTGGATGATATAGTCTTGACAGGTAATGACAATGAAGAATTGGAAAGACTGAAAAAAAAACTTGCAGCTGACTTTGAGATCAATGATTTGGGTGTATTAAAATATTTTCTAGGAATGGAGTTTGCTAGATCCAAAGAAGGTATATTTGTGAATCAACGTAAATATGTTCTTGATTTACTTAGTAAGATAGGTCTGCTAGGATGTAAACTAGCCAAGACACCCACTGAGCCCAACCTTAAGATGCAGCCTTCTAAAGATGAAGAAGTTATGAATAAAGAGCACTATTAAAGACTTGTTGGAAGACTGATCTACTTGTCACATACATGTCCAGATATAGCTTTTGCAGTCAGCATGGTTAGCCAGTTCATGCATTCACCTGGATGAGAACACTTTGATGCAGCTTATAGAATTCTCAGATACCTAAAGGGGACCCCTGGAAGAGGTCTACTGTTAAAACAAACCGTAGGCATTTACAAGTTGAAGCCTATACTGATGCAGATTGGGCTGGGAGTACTATTGATAGACTGTCAACTTCTAGCTACTGCACCTTTGTTGGAGGTAACCTTGTCACCTGGCGGAGTAAAAAACAGAATGTAGTAGCAAGAAGCAGCGCAGAGGCCGAGTTTAGATCAGTTGCTCATAGAATTTGTGAGGTGTTATGGATTAAGAGACTATTAGATGAATTAAAGGGTCTCTAATCCATTGCTTATGAAATTGTACTGTGACAATAAAACTGCTATTTCGATCACTCACAATCCAGTACTTTATGACAGAATAAAGCACGTGGAGGTAGACAAACACTTCATCAAGGAAAAGCTTTCAAAAGGATTGATCTGCATGCCGTACATTCCTACTACCGAGCAAGTTGCAAATGTGCTTACAAAGGGACTTCCTACAAGACAGTTCGACAAACTAATTGGCAAGCTGGCTATGGAGGATATCTTCAAACCAGCTTGAGGTGGAGTGCTAAAAATAAAAGATTCGGTAGTAATATTACCAAATATTATTAGCTGCAAATATAATATTTGGAGGATATTTGCTGTAAATAGAATATTGGTCAAATATTGTAAATTAGGAAATTATTAATTAGGCCAGCTAGATATGTGCGTGTATTCTCTCTTATAAAGAGAACCCGTGTAAACTTGTGAATATTGTGCTAATACAGAGAAAAAGTGTATTATATATTTTTTCCTTTTAAGTTTATATATATATAAAAGAATCTTGAAGTGCACATATATATGGTTATATTTCCATTCGACGAGTAAAGATCAATGCTACTCACGCCTACTAAATAATGCAAAACAAAAGTGACCACTAGACATAATAGGTCCCATATGATGATCTCTTATCATTACTATTGTTTACCTGTGTTTCGCATTATTTACATTATTGACTATTCAAGTATTTTTATACAAGAGTTATTATGCTAAAATTTAATTTGATTCTTGTAGAGTTGGTGTAAAATTCCCTACCGTGGATGTGAGATATGAGAATCTACGAGTGGAAGCAGAGTGTGAGGTAGTTCATGGCAAACCCCTTCCAACACTATGGAATTCACTCAAAAGCATGCTTTTTGTAAGTATTTTAATTTTTAAAAAGTAACTTTAGAGCTTTACCCTTAATTTTATGTATGCAATAGAACCGGTAATTTCCACCCTGATAATAATATTGTGGTTCGGGTTAGGGTCTTAAATAAATTAGATTTCATTATGGGTTGACCCAACAACACTATGCCTACCAATAAAATTTCGATGTGACTCTTACCTATATTAAGTACTTTTCTAATCCAGAAATTCAGAGCTTATAGTGTGATTAAATCAATTTATAGCTTTTTTAACCTAATGAGTTAAACTACAGGAATATATGCTTTAAGCCTTTAAATTTCGCAATATTCATTTTTATCCTTAAAATAGGCTGTTGTAATTTGGTGGTCCATCCTTAGCTTTCCAAGGTCATTCATAGAGGTGTATGAGTGATTCCTAAAGGCAAGATCATTACCAACAAGATGGAGATCTATGGAAGAGGCATCTAGGAAAGGGATTTATAATAAGTGAGAACATTCACTTTAGAGGAAAGATTTAAGGTTTACTCAAACCTTTGATGTAAATATTATATCCTTAAATTGAATGTATCATCGTGTTCTTCATGCATAAAACTTATCTCTACACATGAATCAAGATCTTTATTTGAAAATCCTTCATAAAGTTTTTAAATTTCATTTCCCCAACAGTGGTATCGGAGCTAGATTTGATTCATGTATAGAATTCATATATTTTTATTGAAGAAAATCATCATTCATGGATACAAATTTATATATACATATGTATATATTAATAGATAATGACGATATATGTATATTTGTGATTGGATGATGATGATGTAATTTTGAGCCATGTATGAATCTTATAGGTTAATTAAATGTAATTTTATCTTTGGATGAATATAATTAAGGCTTTGATTTAACTATTTGAAAGTTTAATGATGTAATTTTATTTTATTTTAATTGTATTTCAAATTGTAAAATTTATTTAAAGCCATGCAATCTTCATCAAATGATACTATGAAGCTTCAAGAAGGTCCATGAAGGTTCAATTAGGCTTCAAGAATTTTCTAAAACTTTTTAGAATATTTCTGGAATTTTTTGGGCCTAATTTAATATTTTTGGAATTTTTTATAATTATTCTGCAATTTCCGACGGTTTTTCGGCTGCCGGAGCGTCGCCGCTGGCAAGTTGGTGCCGAAGAGATAACTGCCAATCTAGTGCCGTGCGGTCCACATGCGCCAGCGCCAACAGCCGTTAGATCAAGATCATAAGTTGAAGACAATCCCATGCGGCGCATCACATGATGTGCTCCATAAGCAACAATCAACTGGCACGTGAGGACCACCACGCACCAAACAAGGAAAGTTACTCTAGGCGCATGCCACGCCTTGCTGCCCGCCCTAAGCACGTGCCAACGCGTGAGAAAGTCTGGTAAGCGCATGGGCTTGCGTTAGATGTGTTTTTTGGCTCCTGTAGGTGCACAGGACCTTATGGTGGACCTTCAGACTTGGTTTTATGATTATTTTGTGTTGTTTTCACTCAATAAAGAGTTAATTATTACCTCAAAGTGAATTTTAAAATTATTCTCTATTATTTAAAGATAGTTGGAGTTTCATGGGGTGCAATAATTATAGCATTTAATAATTATTTAGTTTTTAATGTTAAAAGTTAAATCCATTGGCCATTTCATTTATTTGTTTTTGTCTAACATTTAGTTATTTATAGGATGAACTACATTAAACCCCCATTTTCTATCTGTGTTTTTCACTAAACTCCCATTTTCTTTTCTTTTTTTTTATAAAAAAAACCCCTTCAACTATTAGAGGGGGGTGATTTAATTAACTTCCGCTAACTAACTATTAGGGGGGTGATTTAATTCTCAAATATATATATATATAGCAAATAAATTTCAAGAAAAAAAGAACCTAGATTTATATTGGAAAAAAAAAATTAGGCATTATTTCTGGTAGTGCCCCTTTTTAATAAATCTATATAAAATGAAAATCAATAAAAACCAAATAAATGAATGCTCAATATAATTCTCAAATATATATATATATATATATATATAACAAATAAATTTCAAGGAAAAAAAAAAAAAAACCTAGATTTTTTTCCTAAAAAAAAAAAAAACAACCTAGGTTTATATTGGTCTGAAGGTTAGATGGAAATGAAAATATATTATAATAATGGATAAATAAAAGAAGTTGAACAAAAAGAAAAGTACATGTTATTGCAATGGTTTTTTTTCCAATATAAATCTAGGTTTTTTTTTTTTTAATTTATTTGCTATATATATATATATATAAATCTAGGTTTTTTTTTTTTTTTTTTAAATTTATTTGCTATATATATATATATAATATTATAATTATGGATAAATAAAAGAAGTTGAACAAAAAGAAGAGTACATGTTATTGCAATGGTTTTTTTTCCAATATAAATCTAGGTTTTTTTTTTTTTTTTTAAATTTATTTGCTATATATATATATATATATATAGCAAATAAATTTTTTTAAAAAAAAAAAACCTAGATTTATATTGGAAAAAAAACCATTGCAAAAAACCATTGCAAATTTTGAAAAAGGTTTTCTGGTACCTCTACACCATATTTTGTACACTGCTTTCCTTCACTTATCTTGGAATGCTGCTCGTTGCAATAACACCAAGCTATCCAGTAGCTGCAGTTTTACAGTCAACTTTTTACACAGTTTTCATCTTGTTTTCTGGATTTATGATTCCTCAACCGGTAAGACACTAACTACACTTGGTATTACCTTTCCCCTGAATGAATCTGAAATTTAAGACTATTAAATGGATCAAGCTTAAGAATGTCGTGATAGCAGAAAATTTATGAAATAATTTCCCATTATTGCGGGGTGCTAGAAGGAGTGGACTGTGTATAAATTATCCCAACTCTCTTTGAACAAAGTGAATGCTCTCACTTAAGCTTACTTTTTTAGCATACCATACAATGGCATAGTGGTTGAAAATTCTGGATGTAGGGAACTTTGTCTGTAACAATTGTGGTCAAAATTTCTTTGTAAAAAAGTTGAATTTTGAAAGAAACAAAAAACTTATTTTCTTCCTACTTTTAAGTTAAAGTCAAGTGCCTGCAATCTGAAAAATTGGTTGATAATATGAGCAACAAACGAAAAGAAATACAAAAAGATAATTTTTTTTCCAGTTCTCGACAGATCTTTCTTTTTTCTTTATGTGTGATGTTTGTGTGTTGATGGACCCCAATCATTTCAAATTTTGTATAGTGGGTGGAATCATCGAGTTTAATTTAGTAAGAAAAACAGATTCAAATTCGCAGAATTTTGTAGGCTTTTTTATGGTCAAGTCTTCCTTACATTTCTTTTTGATAGGTTCTCAAAGGCTATATAATACATAGGATTAGCTAGTGACTTAGATTTTGTAAAACTCAGCTTATTAACTTAGATTTTCATTTAGATTTAGGTTGGTTGCTTTAACTATTTAGAACTTGATTCCTAAATGCTGAAAAAAGGTTTAGATTAAAGAAACTATATGTAAAGTAATATAGAGTCTTGCATGAAAAGATTATACAATGAACTTTCCTATGTACTAAAAGCTAGGATTTCTAAATGATAAAAAGAGTTGTACGAGAGGTACTGATATTTGTGTGCCATATGAGTCCTGGCGAATCCATATGGCCCAAGGTTTTGCGCTAACCAGTGCAATTTAAACTACTGTAAAACCTTGGCTAGATTGCCGGGTGCTTTTACCCATATTCCTCTCCTATAGAGGCACCCAATAACCATTTGTAAGAAAGTGTAAACTCTTGGTTTTTGGATTTTGACTTGTGTATATAGAGATACTAAATCCAATTGTGTTGTTTTTTGGGTTGCAGCAAATTCCTGAGTGGTGGCTCTGGTTGTATTATCTATGCCCTACATCTTGGACACTAAATGGTTTGCTTACTTCCCAATATGGAGATATAGACACACAGATTATGGTGTTTGGAGAAGCCAAAACCGTCGTGGCGTTTTTAAGCGATTACTTTGGATTTCGCCATGATCAACTACCCATAGTTGCTGTTGTTCTCATTGTTTACCCCATAATTCTTGCTTTCCTATTTGCATTCTGTATTGGGAAACTTCAATTCCAAAAAAGATAGAATGTTGTAAAGCCATTTGTTCACGATTTCATTGCTTTTCTAATCATTGTAGTCGTAGTTAAGGCTTCATAACTTCTAATGTTCGTATACTATCTTCCATGGCAGCTGACTGCAATGTTGGTGCTGTTTCGTCCACAATCTTAGTGGATCATAAAATCTACAAATTCAATGATGGGATACAGATATCTACATAAACTATAAAATTTCTCATTTTTGCCGCCGCTTGTAAGTCTCCATTCTCAGTTGAAAGTCAGCCATGGTGGAGGTGGAGGTGGAGTACGGCACCTAAGCGAGGAGTACCAAATCAAGACGGTAGGCGGCAAAGAGGAAGATGGTGATGGCAACAGCCAAGACTTCTCAAAGGCCCTTCAATAGGTTTAGTTCACTCTACAAAGGGGCACTGCAGCAATTGACCTGAAAAAGGAGGATGTGTAGGTGTAGCTGTGTAGGTGAGAAAGACTTTCCTACACTAGTGATACTACGTCATTTGTGTTATTAACCAATTATATTTTAATACTACGTCATTTGTGTTATTAACTAATTATATTTTAACACATTAGTATTTTACTTTAGTAGACTCTATCACTAGATGTCAGCAAACATTTCTCTTGTAAGTGATCAAAATGTGCATAGTATCACAGTTGGTGATTTTGTGCGAGATATGTGTTTTGGCACTGAAGGGTGTAATTTTTTCTTTTCATGGTGGATTATTAATTTATTATAACTTTAAAAGAATTTGATTCTTACCTTACCGAATCAAATCCCCAATGCAATTAATGAAACATGTGCAGAATATTAATTTTTTGTTTTTCTCTCAAACTTCTAATTAGTGTCATGAATTGCGCACTCTTAGAAAAAAAATAAATAAATAAATAAATTTTCAACTTCATTGTACAGAGGAACGTGAATGATGTAGTAGTACGTACCTAACTTTCATAATTAATTATCGAACGTGCGCGCACACACACCAATACACGCACATGTCAAGTTATGGAGAGCTTCAAGCTGGAATGGTAGAAATACAGAAATTTGAAGATGTCCATAACTTGATATTGGCTTCGTCAGAAATGATTGTATCAATCTGAGATTTGAGAGACTAAATAACAAAGTAATGAGATATGTAATCTCTGGTTTAGATTATTCTATCTCTTAATTGCTTGTCCATTAATTTTGTACTTGGATATTAAATATCTTAGTATTATTTGAGTATTGTAACAATCTAATTTCACACTCTAAAAATAATCATAAATAAATTAAGAGAATTACCTATAAATTATAATAAGAAGAGCTGAGTCGGATTAGATTGAAAAATTCAACATTCCTGTAGCATTAAAAAAATGCATATATATAAAGCCTTTAAACGATATAATTCAGCCAAAAAATACAATATGTCTCGAGTTAGTTTAATGGAGCATATGAATAATGATTTTTTGTTTGTTTCTAAGTTAAGTCATATAAAACGGGAGTCGGTACGAGAGTGAATTCGAGAATGGAAACGTGAAAGCGACAGAATTAAGTTATAAATAATAGTAATTTGAGTCAGAATACACGCAAAAAGTAAGAGCGACACCTATTGAAAATAATTGTTTTACTTAGTTTCTAACTGCATACTGTAACTTGTCAATATTAGTTGTAGGGTCGTCGAAAAGTTGATGGTATATTTAGTGAAAATTTAAAAATACCAACAGTGCCCTTTCTATAAGAGAGTGAAAAAAAATGAAATTCCAACCGTGGCCCCGTTAAACAAGAGTGATTCCTACTAAACCCTACCGCGAAAAATCTCAGAAGATCGCCTTTGAATTTTCTCGTCTCAGGTTTTTCATTTTCTTTTTCTCGGTTCCCAATCAAAACAAAACTCAATTTTTACATATATATTTATATATACACTTCATTTGTGTGTGTCTCATAATCATCTTTAATTTCTCATTTATATACCAAATGATTTTTTTCTTTCACTTTCCTAAGTTTTTTCCGACGACGGTTTCAATGCTGCAGCCGGCATCCACTGGGACTTATGATCATCCCATATTCGATTTTTTTTTTTTTAAAAAAATTTCCTTTAATTTTTGTTCGCAAGGCTTAATTTTGAGAATTTTGAAAAATTCATTCAATTGTTTATTGTTATCATTTTGGGTTTAATTGAGATGCTAACCCAATTGGGAATTTAGCAAAATTTATTCAATTATTTACTGTTCAGTTGTATATTTCCCCAGAGGTTATGGACTGGGTTTTTTGAAGTGTTTAGCTGGAATTGGAATCTTTGTTAAGCAATTCAACCAGGAATATAAGAGAAATTGAATTTGCAAACACCCTTTCACAACTAGGTTGGAAATTCACATTTCACTTTTCATAATTTTTATCATTGGCTGAATTATATTTATTTATTTATTTATATTTTACATATAGGTTGAAAATCTACAAGATTGTTAACACTGTTTGATAGTTATGAAGATTGAATCATGTATGATCTATTGTTCAATTGGTGAACAAGACCCTTGAAAATGGATGGATATTAACTATCTGTTAACACTGCAGCAGTTGACTTGAAAAAGAAGGATCTGAGAACATACTGTATGAGCTTCATAGTGCCAACCATGATAGATTAATTATTATATACACAGTACCTTGCTAACGGTCTTATAATTCCTCATGGCAAATGTGGTGTAATTTTTAATGCATCTCAGCCAATAGAGCAATGTTTATACACCTTGCTTGCATATGCCCTTTATTTCTGGCCTATTTTTCGTACTGGTTGATCTCTATCTTGATTCAAATCCTATAGAATATACATAGTTGCATTCAATTTATTTGTTGGCCTTTGACCTTGTAAATGGTAAAGCATTGACTATTTATGATTTACCTATGTGATCCAGCTTAATACTAGATTGACTGATATGTCAAATCTATGCTTGTTTGTACATTCAATTAGCACATGTGTGTGTGTTTGTATATATATATATTGATGTTGGGGTCCTAATTTTGTTTTGGCCCGGGATGCTTTGCAACCTGATATTGACCCAAAACCGAACTTCGTGATAATTTTTTTCCCCTCATGGACCCAATTCTTGAGGGTCCATAGCGGCGTTTAGGGTTTGGAGTGTGTTTGAGAGAAAACACTGATAACCGTAGTTGGAGAGTGTGAGAGGAGGTGGGGGAAGCTGAAATTTGTAATGTCTAGTTCTTCGCATACTAAAATCTTTCGTCAGATCTTCACTGTGGATGTTGGCTTTAAGCCAAACCACATAAATCTTTGTGTTCTTTATATGTGGCATACTGATTTTTTTTATTGTGTTTTTGGTTCACGGTATTTGTCACAACATATATGTGTGTGTGTTTTGATGTTGGGCCTCTTAAGGGTATTGTACTACTTTGCCTACCCATCCAAACTATTGCCCAGACGCGAACATGGCCTTTAGTCTGAGCGCTTGGCGAGACACTGGAAGAAGGATTGGATTTGTTTTGATACCACTTGTAATGGGTCGGATGCTTGCAATTATGTGAAAAGAAAAATGCTACTCACAAGGACTAAACAGGCCTACTAAACAGTGAGAGGTTGTTGCACTTATAAGGGATGCCTCGTGTCTATGTAGACGCATATTGAAAACTGTGAGCACAGAGAATGTGCAAAGCGGACAAGATGACAAGAGTTATACAAGACAACTAAATTGGTAAGAGCCGTCCAAGACATTTGGGTTGGTGAGAGCTGCACAAGGCAACCCAAATCTGAACAGCTATACAAGGTAAGGAGAATATTACATCAACAACAATATCCCTCTCTTTTTCCCTTTTTTTGGTTAGGTAGCAACTTTTATTAAACTTTTTCATCTACATTTTACAGGAATGAGAATGATGCAACAACTAACCTCATTAAACTTAATATTCTAAAAATTAAAGAGAAAACCGCATATCTGTATATAAATCCATAACTTCTTTGTCTCTCTTCCCACCATTCATAGTTTGAAGTCCTCTAGTACTCAACATGGCTCATTTCGTGGGTAATGATGAGATAGAATCACTGAGAACAGAGCTAAAAAGTCTCAGTTCCTCATTTCAGCATCACACTTCTAGTTTCCGAAGCAGTTCGGATTTGGGTTCTGTAATGGGTGATGAGGTTGATGATGAATGTGCATTGCAATGGGCTACCATTGAGAGATTACCCACTTTTGAAAGGTTGAGATCATCTTTGTTTGACCGTGAATATGGTGAAAATGGGGTTAAAGGAAAAAGGGTTATTGATGTTACTAAGCTTGGTGCTCTTGAATGTCATTTGTTCATTGAGAAACTTATCAAACACATTGAGAACGACAATCTTCGCTTGCTGCATAAACTCAGAAAAAGAATGGACAAGTAAGTTTTTTCTTCCTTTTTATGTCCATTATGGGATACATATCAACATACATGCATTGTGTATATATATGTGTGTGTATGTATGTGTATATAAAAGAATCTTGAAGTGCACATATATATGGTTATATTTCCATACAACGAGTAAAGATCAATGCTACTCACGCCTACTAAACAATGCGAAACAAAAGTGACCACTAGACATAATAGGTCCCATATGATGATCTCTTATCACTATCTATTGTTTACCTGTGTTTCGCATTGTTTACATTATTGACTGTTCAAGTATATTTTTATACAAGAGTTATTGTGCTAAAATTTAATTTGATTCTTGTAGAGTTGGTGTAAAATTCCCCACTGTGGAGGTGAGATATGAGAATCTACGAGTGGAAGCAGAGTGTGAGGTAGTTCATGGCAAGCCCCTTCCAACACTATGGAATTCACTCAAAAGCATGCTTTTTGTAAGTATTTTAATTTTCAAGAAGTAACTTTAGAGCTTTACCCCTAATTTTATGTATGCAATGGAACCGGTCATTTCCACCCTGACAGTAATATTGTGGTTCAGGTTAGGGTCTTAAATAGATAAGAGTTCATTATGGGCTGACCCAACAACACTCTGCCTGCCAATAAAATTTCGATGCAACTCTTACCTATATTAAGTACTTTTGCTTGTCAAAGTTCTTGTTATGATTTATTTATTTTTATTTCTGAAAAGATTTCCGTCTTCAAAAAGCTTGGCATGTTGATAAAAATTGTTTCAGATTCAATCTCTGCAGATTTCTAACCCAATTCAATCCCAAGCAACCCCATTTCTGGGCCTTATGTGAATTATATGTTTTCCCATGCACATTTGCATGCTTGCATCAATAATTATTTTTGCTCTGTAATTATTTGAGTCAAACATTTGGGGTTTTTTGGTTCTTTTTCTTTCTTTTTTTTTTTTTTGTTTATATAGTGAAAGTCAAATATTTGATGAACCAGTTAAGCACTCGTCAGAAGAGAAGAAAATGATCCATTCCTTTAAATTATTTTATTTTATTATTGACGAGCACACAATCCCCGACTATTGGCTTAATGAAGCCTTGAACTCTTAGCCTCTCGTATAAGAAGATGAGGAGATACCACTTGAGCTTAAAGCCTTGGTTGTATCTATCTCTTGTTCTTGCTGTTTGGATACAAGAATTAATGTGTGAATCCATGTGTTACGCATATTTTATCCAAAAGCAGCCTTTGCTGTGGTTGCAGCTCCCTATTTGTCGTTTTAAATTTATAATGATTGGTGCATTCTGTTAATCAGGATTTTGCTAAGTTTCCTGGGTTAAAGTCACAAGAAGCAAAGATAACCATCATTAATGATGTCAGTGGCATCATTAAGCCCGGGAGGTATGCAATTGACCAACCAGCTTATCAGCTTTCCTCAGCTTCTTGTTAGTTATAATTATCTACAACTTCTATTGAAAGCATTCATTTTCAATTGTTTCCTTTATTGTCTTGTCACTTATCTAACTGGGAATCCCTATTCTTTTGACTCGTCCACATTCTCGAATGGTTAGACCATCAAAATATGCCCAGCCTTATGGCCAATGACATATTACCTTTCAAGTTGATAATATATGTTTATCACACAGGCTCCAGAAATTCAGAGCTTATACTGTGATTAAATCAATTTATAGTTCTTTTAACCAAATGAGTTAAACTATAGGAGTATATGCTTTAAGCCATTAACTTTCGCAATATTCATTTTTATCCTTAAAATAGGCAGTTGCAATTTGGTGGTCCATCCTTTCCTTCTTTAACCAAAATTAAATTAAATGATTTTTACTGTTGGAATATTTTTAACATGACTCAGTATTTTTCAAACTTGAGAGAATGATAAATCAGTTGGTTGAATTTTATCAATCGAAATTACACACTGACGGATTTACTGAGTTGGGGTTTGCCATGCGACTTCCATTTAGTGCACAAGTATATGGTTGCCTTGAAACAGTTCTATATTTCAATTTTTGCTACCGGTGTGAAAGATACTTTTTGTGAAGTTTCATAGGCAAGAAACGCAACATTTTTTTCATCAAGTTTTTGCTTGTTGAGTTAAATAATTTAATAGTTTATTTAAGGATGCTCATCTTTTTGCAGAATGACTCTACTGCTTGGTCCTCCTGGATGTGGGAAGACATCTTTACTGAAAGCACTTTCTGGAAATTTGAGAAAACCTCTCAAGGTTTCTACCTTTTTATACACTTCATCTTCTTAATAATAACCTTGTGAGAGACCTAAACAAGCATGCATGCACGAAATAATTATCCTTAAAGTTGATTTATAGAGCAAATCTGCACAATTGAAAATACAAAAAAGCTCAAATGAGACTTGTTTGGAACTTAAAATTTTCTCAAGTTCTTTTGGGTTGTAGTTGGCACAATGGCACTACTTTTTTCTTCTTAAAGAAATGGATTCAGCTGGTTTATTTCTTGCATACAGTCCCAAGGGCCTCACCATGCAAATTGTACTAAAAATAGAGTCATCTAATCTTAATTTCAACAGGCAGAAAGTTGCCTCTTTGATATGTGTGTGTATGTATATATATAGAGGTTTTGAATCCTAGTAACTATTATGTAATATGTCCTTGTAAAATTAGAGTTAGCTGTTCCCTGTGTGTAGCATATACCCACAAGCACCATCTAATGTTAGAAATATTTATTGGTTACTACGGTGGGATAGCTTTTAAATCTGAGTCAATGAACAACGCAAAGGGATTACCCTTCTAGATGTATGGTGCAGAGAGCAGATGATGTATCACAATGAAAAAGAAATGTTCAGGTACCACAATAAACTGGAAGAGGTTAAGGTTGAAAATGTAGCCACTCTACACAATTGAAGACTTTAAACTCTTGTAGTGTGAATGTAGGTCAACATATTATATATTTTGTAAGTGTGTCTAAATATTATACATAATATTAATGGAATCTTGATTTTTCTTTTGATTGGTTGCCAATAGTTGCTTTAAGATGCATGTCATACTCTTCAATATATTTTATGCTATGTCCTATCAACAGGTTACAGGGGAAGTTTCTTACAATGGATGCAAACTGGAAGAGTTTGCACCCCAGAAAACATCTGCTTATATAAGCCAATATGACCAACACATTGCTGAGATGACTGTGAGGGAAACACTTGATTTTTCAGCCTGCTGTCAGGGTGTCGGAAGCCGAGCAGGTATGTCTAGTTTGAGCACACGACTTAGCTCATTTTAGCTGTGGATATATGTATGGCTATAATTATAATGAAATAACTTTTCTTCCTGCAAAGAGATTATATTTGAGCTCACCAGAAGGGAGAAACAGGCAGGCATTATTCCAGATCCAGACATAGATACTTATATGAAGGTGATTTTAGCATCCCTGGTCTTCTGCCTCTCCATGTTTATGGACTTGTCATTATCTTCCTTGAGGATAGAATCTATCATTTTTAAAATATCTTTTGGTTTTGTCAGAAATATTGATTGGAATATTTTTCTTTGTATGGATGGGGGCTCAGTTAAGCTCATGGCTATATATGGAAACTATATTGATTGAAATGCATTCATTTTCCATGGAAAGTTTGAAAATAACTTCTGCTGAGGTTTTGTTTTCTGATGAAATTTTGGACCATTGCAGGAAAAAAAAAATGATGGAATTTATACTTTCCAACTAAAATGATGGAATTTTGGACCATTGCATAAAAAAAAAATGATTGATGAAAGCTCGCAAGCTCAATCCCCTACAAAAACAATTTTCTGATGAAATCTTGCAAGCTCAATCCCCTACGAAAACAATATTTACATGGCACAAATTATATTCTGTATCATATCATAGTTACGACTTAGGACTTAGGAGTTATGTTATGGATTGAATGACAAAACAGGTTGAGATTGTTACGGTAATGGTGTGGATACTGTTACAAATATGTTATTTATGCTTTGTACATGCATCATCATTCCACAAGATTCAGTTGATGGGAACATATTCCATTGACCCACTCACAATTTTATGACACACATTAAAGCACAACTCTAGTCTTCCAGGGATCCATGATAAAACAGACTCTTGGATCAGATTGTTAGGATTAACAAGTATGAATTGCTGCATTAGTAGGGTGCATCCGAATCTCTGCTATCTGATTTAGATACCATCATGATAATGCGCTTAAAATGGTTTCTTGTTTGGAATTTAATTGGTCATTCCAATCCTCTTAACATATTAAGGGCTTGAGTCACTTACAAAGTTAAAAACATGCATTGTAAAATGCTAGTTGATATGGATCAATGCATAATAACACAGTAAAGTTGTTCTTAACATGTCTGAAGTTCTTTATGCAGCTGGCGGCATGTATTTTTTAATAGTATAACCATCTTTTGTTTTAACAGGCAATTAGTGTTGAAGGACAAAAGACAACTCTTCAGACTGACTACATTTTAAAAGTAATTCTATTTTAACGGAACTGATAATGTGCTTCTTCTTTGTACACTAAAGATGGCCAAATGCTTTGCCTGTTGATGATTTATCAATCTTTGCCATGATTTCTCAGATTCTTGGACTTGATATCTGTGCGGATACACTGGTTGGAGATGCCATGAGAAGAGGTATCTCCGGTGGTCAGAAGAAACGATTAACTACAGGTAGTTTGAATACAGAAGTTTGACAGATTTATCAGATAGTACAACCACTCACAGTCACTATAGTATTATATTTAGCTCTGGAATTTAATAAAATTAATCCCCTATATCAGACAATCTTTCAATTCCATTTTCCACATAATTGAAGTATCTCATATATGTATATAGTTGAAGATTGGCTTTCCTTGTATTTTGCAGGCGAAATGATTGTTGGTCCAACAAAGGCTTTGTTTTTGGATGATATATCAAGTGGCTTAGACAGTTCCACCTCATATCAGATTGTTGCTTGCCTCCAACAGTTGGCACATATCACCGATGCTACAGTACTTGTGTCACTTCTTCAGCCGGCACCAGAAACCTTCGAACTCTTTGATGATATTATCTTGATGGCAGAAGGGAAGACTGTGTATCATGGATATCGCAGTCATGTTTTAGACTTTTTTGAGGGTTGTGGGTTTCGGTGTCCTGAAAGGAAAGGGGTAGCTGACTTCCTCCAGGAGGTTAGTTCGTAAATTCCTTTTGTGTTTGTATATCTTCAAAATAAACTTAACAAATTGAATGCCTGGCAGGTTATTTCAATGAAAGATCAAGCACAGTATTGGCACCGGACTGAACAACTTCATAGTTATGTTTCTGTTGATATGTTCTCTGAGAAATTCAAGGAATCTCCTTCTGGGAAGAAGCTAGATGAGGAGCTCTCTAAGTCATTCATAAAGTCCCAGAGCCATAACAGTGCCATTTCTTTTAGCGCGTGTTCTCTTTCTAAGTGGGCACTCTTTAAAGCTTGCATGTCAAGGGAATTTCTTCTCATGAAAAGGGATTCTTTTCTTTATGTATTCAAATCAATCCAGGTTATAGTCAGTACTTTCTCTTTTTTTCCTTTGCGTTTTATGCCTTTGGAAATGCATTCTTTAATCATTACTGCATTTCAATCAATGTTATGTTGTTGGTCTTCTATGTCTAAGGTCTGAAATATAAAAGGCATCTTTTTTGCAGCTTGTCATAATTGCATCTATGATGATGACTGTATTTTTTCGAACTCGGATGACTGTCGATGTTGTTCATGCAAACTATTTTCTGGGGGCTCTTTTCTTCACTCTCATGATTCTTATAATTGATGGATTTCCAGAGATGTCCATCACTATGGCAAGACTTCCAATTTTCTACAAACAGAAAGAACTGTACTTCTACCCAGCTTGGGCCTATGCAATTCCAGCTTCCATTCTCAAGGTCCCTCTTTCGTTGTTGGAAGCTCTAGTTTGGACATCTCTAACTTATTATGTAATTGGATACAGTCCGGAGGCTGGCAGGTGAATGTAACATGACTAAGGCTTAAATTTTTTTTTTTTTTCCTTCACACATATATTATTGAAATAGGTCACCACTATCCCCACCTATCTTTGGATCATTGACTCACCTGTTGTTAATTTTTTCGTAGACTAGTTAAACTTCATGTGTACTCTATAGAAACATGCATGTTCATGTTGTAGTTGCAGGAAAGAAAGGATTAACTTCTAAAATCAGCAGTGTTTCACAGGTTTTTCCGCCAGTTCATTCTCCTTTTTGCTGTGCACTTAACATCAATGTCCATGTTCCGTTTCTTGGCATCAGTATTCCAGACCGCCGATGCTTCTACAACAGCTGGTAGTTTATCAATATTATTTGTCTTACTGTTTGGTGGCTTCATTATCCCAAAACGTAAGTTTTCAATAACTCATTTCCAAAGTGGTCTTAGGGATAACACCCTAAAGAATGCTAAATCGTGTTGTTGGTTGCAGCCTCCATGCCAGTATGGTTGAAGTGGGGATTTTGGGTTTCCCCAATAACGTATGGTGAGTTAGGCCTTGCTTTAAATGAATTTCTTGCTCCACGATGGCAAAAGGTGAGTTCCTAACTCCCCAAGTTGTTGGATCTATAAATAAGGTATCTTTTTAGAGTACGAGTATGCTTGATGAATTATATGCTAATACAGTTTCTCAAAAGCATGGGAGGATCACATCGGTCCAAGGAACCATATGTTGAAAGCACTAGCTAGTATAATCACCATAGGCATCCTTTTCAGTGATATGTATATTTTATTTTACATCAGTTACCATTATCAAGAAGTACACCAACAATGATGATGAGGGCAGCTGGGAACAGAATGTCTTTTTACTTTTGGATAGCCAACATGAATCAATTTCCTGACTTCATCAATTATGCATCTATTTGATATTCATATTAGTTCTATCCACACAGTCTTAGATGTTCTCATTTCTGATTAAGTTGTTCCATACTTGTCCATAAACTGTTAAACACTTCATTTATCTGGGTGCTACATCATATTGATGTGTTGCTTCTCCTACCAATGCTCCCTCTTATTATACTTTTTGCTAGAATATACTACGTATTTCTATTCTCCACATATTCTGATACCTAACTTAGTTAAACCTTTCAGTGAATAACATGATAGTATTTATGATTTGTTGTTAGCGGCTTATGATCATCTTTGAGGTCTTAATAGTAGATACAATTGGGCTCTAGTTCTGGATGTATGACGCGTGAAACTTTCTCCTTTACCATCCTCTTATTATTTTGCCTATTATGTTTTTATGGTTTATTTTAATATCCGAAGAAGATACACGTTCTCTGTGTATTCATTCTCTGCTCATTCTTTTATGCAGATGTCGACCACAAACACAACATTAGGCCAAGAAACACTTGAAAGCCGTGGATTGAACTTCAATGCATACTTTTTTTGGATATCAGTTGGTGCCTTATTTGGGTTTACATTGATTTTCAACGTTGGTTTTACCTTGGCCTTAACGTTCCTAAAACGTAAGTATATCTTTCTAAATGGAATTCAACTGGAAAAATGACCTCCGGGTATATATTTTATTCACATTTCAATTTTCCTCTAGCTCCGGGTTCTCGTGCTATTATTTCAAATATAAAGCTCTCCCAGTTACAAGGAAGTGCAGATCCCACCATTGTGGAAGATAACTCCAGTAATTCTTCACCTAAAACTATTAAAGTACCTTGTAAAGGTCAGGCATAAATCTTTTCTTCCCTGTTTTAATAATTTTGAGAGAACTGCTTCCTGCAATTTTATTCCTTTTATGTTATCAATATTTTCATACTGCTGTTAATCAAGGTTTCTTTGTTTTATTTTACAGGCGGAATGGTTTTACCTTTTGAACCTTTGACTTTAGTGTTCGAGGAAGTGCAATACTATGTTGACACCCCTTCGGTAATCATATAAACATTATCATATAACTATTAAGTAGCTGTAGGGATAGCAAGACTCATTAATTAAATTTTATTGGGTAATTTTATCATTTTCTTTTGGTTTCAGGAAATGCGACAATGGGGTTTCACTGAGAAAAAGCTCCAACTTCTATGTGATATTACAGGTGCATTTAGGCCTGGTGTTCTAACAGCAATAATGGGTGTAAGTGGAGCTGGGAAAACAACTCTTTTGGATGTTCTTTCTGGAAGAAAAACTAGTGGCACTATTGAAGGACAAATTAAAATTGGAGGATATCCTAGGGTTCAGGAAACTTTTGCTAGAATATCAGGTTATTGTGAGCAAACTGACATACATTCTCCACAAATTACTGTAGAAGAATCAGTTATATTTTCTGCTTGGCTGCGTCTGCATCCTCATATTGATTCAAAAACCAAATATGTAAGGCCTACGCATGAGGAAGTTGAATTTACGTATATTATTTATATATCATTTTACTTAAATTGCTTTTACATGTCTTCATAGGAATTTGCGACAGAAGTCCTTGAGACCATTGAGCTTGATGGAATCAAAGATGCCTTGGTGGGCTTACCAGGTGTTAGTGGCCTATCAACCGAGCAACGTAAGCGGCTCACAATAGCTGTGGAGCTTGTTGCTAACCCCTCTATTATATTTATGGATGAACCTACATCTGGACTGGATGCAAGAGCAGCTGCAATTGTCATGCGGGTGGTCAAGAATGTGGTTAATACAGGAAGAACAGTTGTTTGCACCATCCACCAACCAAGTGTTGACATATTTGAGGCATTTGATGAGGTAGGAAAACAACTGTTAGTGATAACTATTTCAGGGAAGTTTAGATCATAAACTTATTTTTGGTGCTGAAAGAATTAACTACATGAACTGGAAAGCTGCTTGATCACCAGTGGTAGCACTCCATAAAGTCAATTATGTATATGCTTAGTCCAGGAAATTACTTTTCCGGTTGTCATGCACTAACCAAGCAATATATGAAAACCCAATCAACATAAATCGTTAGACCTCATGTTTTGAACTCTTTGATAAATCCCAGTATATCACTCAAAAAGTGACATGATAAGTAAGTGGTTTATATGGTACTCCTTGGTGCTTTTATTGAAGCTATTGTAAATTAGTGGTTAAGTTATGATTAGAGCTCCATATATAACTGTTACCAGGATTGGAAATTAACCAAAGTTTCCATAAAACTAAGTGATAAGATTCCTATAGCTTGTTGATGTTGGATGTGCTTTACCACCAAAATCTTTCAAATCTATTAATAATATAGCTAGAGATTATAGATGTTTTTTTTATTTACTTCATTATAATGGGATTTAATCACTTCAAAACACATAGATTTAGGACATTAGATTTTTTTCTTTTTTTTTTTCCTTTTTTTTTTTTTTTTCTATTTCTGGGAAAATTCAGTTTTAATTATTTTTCTTGTATTCAAATATAATAATTATGATTAAATACAAATAAGTAATGTCTAACACTGCTATTACATTCACTGCAGTTAATTCTATTGAAAAATGGTGGACGTATGATCTACTCTGGACCATTGGGTCACCATTCAAGTAGTGCCATTGAGTATTTTGAGGTCAATTTGCCACATCAACACATAGACCTCTTACATATTCTTTCCTCATTATTAATTGTATTCCATTTAACCGTGTCTCTCAACAGGGTATCTCAGGTGTGCCGAAGATCAGAAATAATTACAATCCAGCATCATGGATATTAGAGGTCACTTCTGCATCTGCAGAAGCTGAACTTGGTGTAGATTTTGCCCAAATATACACGGAATCTGTTTTATATGAGTGAGTTAACTTCCAATCATTTCTTTGATTGTGCATCTCTCTGAAATTAGACAATTCATTACAAAGTTGCTAGATGCAACAAATGCAGAGGAGTCTACCTTCTCAAATAAATATCATATGAAGATCCAGTACATGGTTAGTTTTAGTACCATAGGCCTGCCGATCCGATAACCCAGAATTCTTGATTTAAGAGTCTTAAGAGAGACGGTTACATTAGAGGCAAGGAGAGAAGGAACTGTTTATTGCAGTAAGCAGAGAGACCATACTGTCTTTACACAATGAGGTTTTATTGTTTGTCAGGAACGTGGGGCGGGGGTTGTTGGAGCTTAAAGACTAAATATTGGTTATATGACCATCTGCTCACCACATTGCGGCAAAGACTGGATATTGCTTAGCTGCAGTGAGAAATTATTCTAAATAGCCGCTGGACCGAGGCTAGTTGTGACGTAAATAATTTCAAATAGGTTCTGTCTGGAGTCTTTCTAGATCATGTTTAGCTGCTTTCCAGTCATATCATACACGTGATTTCAACTAAATTCTCATTCATGAACTACCTACACATAGTTCATGTTCAGTGTGTGACATTGCATCTAAAACTCAAAATTTTGAGCCACTTACTTGATGTTTATCGTTAACTAGAGTTCTGAACGACTTTGTTATTATCTAATTATCGAATCTTCAGTGTTTAGTATTAAAAATGACGACAGTATCAGGCTTGCTGCTAGTTGGATACTGGATGGCGCATTTGTAATTGATCTAATACTGTATAGTAACTTACAGTTGACTTTTCAAATGCGGGAAATTAAGTATGAAAACCAATTGTTCTCCATAAGGCATTGATTTGTTTGCGATAACTGGTATTCTGGTATAAGATTTTTTACATTTGGATTGTATATGACTCCTCCTCTGTTATTCTGATTGTAGGAACAATAATGAGCTTGTAAAGAGGTTAAGTTCTCCGCCTCCTGGTTCAAAAGAATTGTCTTTCCCAACCCAGTTTTCACAAAATGGTTGGGGACAGTTCAAATCCTGCCTCTGGAAACAGCATTGGTCTTATTGGAGAAGTCCTTCATACAACTTACTGCGTTCCTTGCATTTACTTATTGCATCCTTGCTTTTTGGAATACTGTTCTGGGATCAGGGAAGGAAAATGTAAGTAAATTGAGTTAAAATAAGGTCAGGTTTTAAGTGGTACAAGAACACAATTCAAATTAGCTTTGGCATATGGTGATATCCATTTGGCCAAATGAAGCTGTTATATAAATCCTTCTCTCCTTGAGATGGTTTATTAGTATGAAGCAGACTCTTCCTAGCTTTGGAATCTGACTTCTATAGCAATCGACCCAGCATCATAAAGTTAAGGAGAACATAATATGAAATACTGTGGAAATGGATATGCCAGTGCATAGGGAAAATATTGTCATTTTGCACATCATTTATGGGAAACATTTTTTTCCCAGAACTAATGCATTAGTATTTCATATATTGCATTGATTTGGATGACTGGTTAAAAAGTGTCATTTCTTTAGACAATGGTAAAAGCGCGAGCTCTCAAGTGCAAGAGCACATGTTCAAGTCTCAAAACTGCCACTTTATACAAAATAATGACAAAGTTTATGTTTGTCTCTAATCTTCCCCTCTATCACCCCATGTAGGCAGCACATACATTGAATAATGCACTCATGGATGACTGGTGACTGCAGAATATGATATTAGTTCATTGCTTGAGTTACCGTAATTCATTAAATAAAAGTTCAAACATTTTCCGGTTAGTTCCATATCTGTTTGATTTCACAAATGCACAAGTAAGATTCTTTAAGAAGTATCTTCGGATTAATGTGGGCTGTAGTTGAATATTTCTTAGACAAGGAGTCACCGCAAAATGCTGTTTTCTATATTCACTGAACTCCTTTGTTGTTGGAAGGACTTCTGAAGATTTTAACATTGATTTCCTTTAAGACTTCTCAAGATCTCTAACATTAATTTCTTTTTTCTGGGCAGAAATAACCCACAGAGCTTGTTCAGTATACTTGGTTCAATGTTCCTTGCACTAACTTTCTTGGGTGTAAATAATTCCTCGACAGTTTTGCCCTATGTCTTGACAGAGCGATCCGTTCTTTTTCGAGAAACATTTGCAGGGATGTACGCTTCATGGGCTTATGCACTTGCACAGGTACTTCTTGGAAACTTTTTGAAACAGCAATACACTTGATTTGATCAAAACCCAATCAAGTTTGACTTCAGAGCTTAATGATGTTGAATTGAGTTGGATCTTTCCTAGGGTTCTTGATGGACATTTCGAGAATAACTCATAGTTCTTCCTGAAGTGGGAATGTTTAGCTGGATAATTAGCAATAGGAATACCTTTTCCTCTAAAACAGTAGCTTTGCTGTACTATTGAGTCACATTTATTTATTTATTTATTCTTATTATTATTATTTTTAAACATGGTAAAGACCAAACTACCAATCCTTTTCTCCATCTTCACCCTCTCCCCCTCACGTACTACAAGAGTATTTGACTATCCTCGCCTCCCTGAAATAAAGATGTATGTTGTTACATCTTTATTGCAACAATGTACCACCCAACCCACCACAATCAAATACTAACAAAGCTAATTAATAGCTAAGAATGAAAATAGTAGTTGATTGCTAAGATTCCAATAGTTTATTGAATTCCTATACTTGTACAATTTACGCTATGTAAGTTTCCAAGCATAAAAAATATTATGAAACTGCTTCCTGCTTCCTGTTTCCTGCTTATTGAAATGTGTTGACCGATTGCATAGGTGATAATTGAGGTTCCCTATCTCTTCGCCCAGTCACTTGCATTTGTGGTCATCACATATCCAATGATCGGGTATTACTGGTCGGCTTATAAGGTTTTCTGGTACTTCTACACCATGTTTTGTACATTGCTTTACTACACTTATCTTGGAATGCTGCTCGTTGCAATAACACCAAGCTATCCAGTAGCTGCAGTTTTACAGTCGACTTTCTACACTGTGTTTATCTTGTTTGCTGGATTTTTGATTCCTCAACCGGTAAGATACTAATCTCCACTTAGTATTTTCTTTTCCCTGAATGAGGCTGAAATTCTGCTACAGTTCAAGACTATTAACTTGGATGAAGCTCTAAATTGTCATGATAGCAGAACGAACCATAGTTGTTAGGAGGAGTAGAATGGGTATAAATGTAGCCTGACTATATTTTTACAAATTGAATGCTCTGAGACTCAAGCTTAATTTACTAGCATACTGTGCAACGGCCTAATGCTAGAAATCGCAGGATGAGGGAACTTTTTCTATAAGGATTCTTGTCAAATTTTAAATAGTGCATTTCTCAATTGTTCTTCTTTTTTTGATCCTATTTTTAAGTTTAAAAGCAATGTGCCTGCCATCTGAAAATTGGTTGATAATATGAACGACAAAATAAAGGAAATATAAACTAATAATAATAATTATGTTTTTAAGTTCTCAGCAGATCTTTTTATTTATTTATTATATATATATATATATTTAATGGATCCCAATCATTTCAAATTTTATAGGCTTTTTTTATGTTCAAGACTTCCTTCCATTTCTGTTTGATAGCTTCTTCTCAAAGGGTAATAATATAGATTATAGGCTAGTGACTTAAAATTTTGTAAAACTCGGTTTATTAACTTAGAATTTTCATGCAGATGCAGGTTGTTTTAACTATTTGCAAGTTGATTCATAAATAGGGAAAAAAAAAGGGTTTAGATTAAAGAAATTGGATGCAATGGTAATATATAGAAGATGCATGAAAAAAAAATTGTAAAATGACATTTCTTATGAGCTAAAAATAAGGTTTTCTTAATAAAAATAAATAGTTGCGCGAGAGAAATTTGTGATACTTATGCCTTTTCCGAGTCCTAGCAAATCCGTATGCTAACCTGGACAATTTAAACAAACTTTAAAACTTTGGCTACCCATGTTCCTCTCTTCTAAAGGCACCCAAACACCACTCTCTTCTAAAGGCATCCAAACACCATTTTCAGAATTTGTAAACTCGGTTTTTGGATTTTAACTGTGTGTAGATTTGCCAATGCAATTGTGTTGTTTTTTGGTTGCAGCAAATCCCCAAGTGGTGGCTCTGGTTGTATTATCTATGCCCTATGTCTTGGACACTAAATGGAATGCTTACTTCCCAGTATGGAGATATAGAGAGAGAGATTATGGTGTTCGGAGAAGCCAAAACTGTCGCGGCATTTTTGAGAGATTACTTTGGATTTCACCATGATCAATTACCCATAGTTGCTGTTGTTCTCACTGTATACCCCATTATTCTTGCTCTTCTATTTGCATTCTGTATTGGGAAGCTTAAATTCCAAAAAAGACGAATGTTTTGCAAAGCCATTTGTTCATGATTTCATTGCTTTTCTAATCATTGTGGCAATGGGTTCATGTGCTATCTTCTCTGGCAGATGACTGCAACTTTGGAGTAATCAAACAAATTCAGTACAAAGTAACTGTAGATTGGATACATTTAGGCTCGGTTTGTTTGGATGTAAAATATTTTTTTTAAAGAATATTAATATTTTTTTTTTCTGGTGGTTGATTGTTGCGATTAGGGTTTTGTATTTTTTACTTATTTTATGAAAGTTGAGAGTTCGAGTCTCATTAAGATACGTAGGTGCGTGCCTTTCTTATCAATAAATAAAAAATAAAAATAAAAAAATCCAGACATTCCATACAACAATGGGAAATCGTTTCCTATGAAATCAAACATTGACAAATCATTTAACAAATGAAAATATAAATATGTAGTCTCTCGGACTTGGATTATTGTATATTCTTTCTGTCACGTAGCCCCTTCTTAACCATGGTTTATTGTTGGGTTTGTTTGTTTGGTCCAACAATAGGGCGGAAAACACGCCCTCTCTAGCGCGTGAGGAAATCCCTTCAAAACCCAAAATAGCCCTAAACCCCAAATCCCACCATTAACGAAACAATTTTGTTTCCAAAAATCGATTTCTCTCGCCATTAACGAAATTATCTCCTGCATGCACACACCAATACACACACACACACATATATATCTATATATTCTTTCTTTCTCTCTTTCTACCATTCCAGTTTGAAGATGTGCATAACTTGATATTCGCTTAGTTAGTCAGAAATGATGGTCTCAATTTGAGATTTGAGAGACTGAATAACAAATTAATGAGATATGTAATCTCGGGTTTAGATTATTCTATTTCTTAATTGCTTGTCCAATAATTTTGTACTTGGATATTAAATATCTTAGTATTATTGGAATATGGTAACAATCTAATTTCACACTCTCTCTAAAAATAACCATAAATAAATTAAAATAAGGGTAAATTCCACCTACACTTCTTGGAGTTTGTTAATATTCCACACACACCCCTTCTACGTTTCATAATTCCACCCACTTCCCTTGAGGTTTTGAGTCAATTTTGCCCTTCCAATACTTGAAATGACATTTTTAACCTCATTAGCCGATGCAAATTTACAAAATTAACCTTAACTTATAAACTAAAAAGGATAACTGTGCCTTCATGTCACCGAACCCAAAACACCCCCATTCACCAATCGTTTCAACTTTGTAAGTCGCCGGAATTGAGCCCACAGTATTAATCCATGCACCAACAGATGGTGACCAAACAAGTCTGAACGATGTGCAAGGATGACTAGGCGATGCAAAACGGGAATTGCAACCACATAATTTACCAACAAGGCCCGACGACGAAGCTGTTTTTACTGGCGAGAAACGGCGAGACTGAACTGACAGGCGATGAAGCGATTAAACGGTGGTGAAGAGGACGGCAGACATGTTTCAATGAAGGACGCTGATGAGACTGTTTGGTGGAATGAAATTACCGGCATGTAGCGGGCTGTGACAAGGATGGTGAAGCTTGCAGTTTTAACAATGGTGACGAACTTACAGAGCTAGGCCGGATTCTTCTACAGAGCTTTGGCATGTCTATGGCCGTTTTGAATTGGGTTTCACCGAGGTGGGTTGAGGAATGGCTGCTCGCCGGACTGAACTGGGTTTGGTCGAACTTAGTTCGTTTTAGCTTTCAGCTTGACTGAATCGCAGAACTGGGTTTGGTATGACTGAATCGCTGTTAGCCGGTCTGAAAAAGGAGGAACCTTAGTTCAGTCCAAACACCGGACTTCAACGCCGTCAAATCTACGGCTGTGTAGTCGCCATCAAATCTACCTTCGTAACGCTGGATAAGAACGAGGTAAGACGGGTCAAAAATGACGACGGCGAAGTTCACAGCTACCTCGACCCAGTTCAGTCCGGTGATCCCAGGTCCGACGAAGCTCAGTTCAGTCCGGCGAAGCTTCACGGTTTGTTCACTACATGTTGGTGGTCTCGCCTACGCTATTTTGGCACCTTAACCAAAGCACGTTTGAACTGAGGTTCACCTCTACTGCTCGCCGGACTGGACTGAAGCTCGCCGGAGTCAAACCTGTGTGTAATGTATATGTGTGTATATGTGTCTTCGTATATGTACGTGGTGGGTGGTCAGTCGTCGTCGTGGTGGGTTGAGGTGGAGAAACGACGAGATCGGTTTTGTAACTCGCCGGAGATCGCTTCACCCAGTTTAGTCTGCCGATCCCTACTCCGGTGAAAAGCTCGCAACGGAGGCTGTGATAAAAACTAGCGAACTGTCCTTGCAATTGAGCGACGGGCAGTAAGGAGAACGGCTCGGCTGTGATAAGAGCCACCTTTTTCTGTGGTGGCTATCGGTGGCATAGTTTCTTCGTCGCCGGCAATAATAAAGAAAAAAAGAAAGAAAAAGAAAGATATATATAGTGTGTCTATATATATGCGTCTGTGAGTAGAGAGAGACATGGAGGGTATTAGAGTCTTTTCATTTTAAGTTATAAATTTTAATATATAATTCAAGGGTAAAACAGTAAAATCCTACATTTCCGTTAGTAAACTAAACGTCTGTTACTGACAGGGGGTGTAGGTGACATTATGAGACGTAGAAGGGATGTAAATAAAATATTAACAAAATTCAGGGGGTGTAGATAAAATTAACCTTTAAAATAACGACCTATAGATTATAGGGCTAAAATTTGAAAACCGTTATTTACAAAAATTATCTACTAATCTCCAGGATGAAATCACACTTGTACAGAAAGATATGACGAAATTACCCTTCTGGTTTTTTTATCTTTTTTTTTTTTTTTTTAGGGTAATTTTTTTTTTTTTTTTTTTATCTTCTTCTTCTGTCTCGTTATTTTTTGTTTTTTTTTCTTTTCTTTTCTTCTTCTTCTCTGTCGTTGCACTGGTGTGAGGAATACTCCATAGAAGATCTCAGGTATCTTCTTTTCTTCTCTCTTCTCTTCATCTCTCTTCTCTCTTCTCTCTTCTCTTCTTCTTGTCTGTCGTTTAAGTGGTGTGAGGATTCTCCATAGCAGCAGTAACAGAACCCTAATTGATCTATTGAATTCTCCAATTGATGATTTGAAGCCCTAAACCGCAATCAGCCGAAGCCCAAATGTCTTCTTCCACCACACAATCTGTTAATCGGCCGGACGGCGATCTGCGACGACGAGACATGCGTGCCGGCAAACGTGCAGAGACTGATGAAGGCATCGACTGCGGCGACGGAGCATGGGATTATGGTGCTCTGAAGCTATGATATCTGTCCCGCGATCGGACGGCGCATGAGGCGGTGATTTTCAAAATCGATATCTTTTCTAATTGCCATTTTAGAACTGGAAGAGATGGGATTCAAACCAGAACCTAATTCATGGAGTATTTTGGTTGAATTGATAATTGCAATTATGTATATAATTACTATAATTATTATAATCATATAATTATAATTACTATAATTATATATATACTCACCTACTATATATGCATATTGGTGCTCTTCGGCGTTATTATGGCAGTTATGGAATGCCTATTGTACATGTGTGTGTATATATATATATATATATATATATATATATAGATACATACATATATATCCTGGACAAGGGGCGTGAAAAAAAAAAGAAAAAAAAAAAAGAAAGAAAGAAGAAGAAGAAAGTTTGCCAATGCCAAACGATGTTGTTCATGAACCCTGCAAAGATATAATTATCATTTTAAAAAGAATACATTTAACTTTTAAATAAATATTAATATATTATCAAAGGCATTTTTATCATTTCGCAGGCACTTAATGGTTCACAACAATGGTTTTCAGATTTTAGTCCTAAATTATAATAAGAAGAACTGAGTCTGATTAGATTGAAAATTTCGATATTCCTGTAGCATTAAAAAATGCATATATAAAAAGTCTAAGACTGCAACTCAGGTGGGTTGAACGGGTTTGAAGTATAACTTGAGCTCAACTCATCATACGAAATACTAAACCCAAGTCCAACACTAATCATAATTTTATCCTCAACCTTAACTACTTAACCCAAATCCAACCCATCCTTTTATTTTTAAATTCGGGCTTACAACTCGGACTTATATGACTAATCCGTTACACTAAAAATTTAATATAATCTTGAATTAGTTTTAGATTAAATTGTTCTTAAAAAAAAAAAAAAAGTTTAAAGACTTTTTGTATATTTTTAATAAATTGCAAACAAAATTTTAAAATATTAATTCTCCTAAATGTTAATATACAATTACTTAAGATTTAACAAAAAAAAAAGTTGAAAAGATAAAAAGTAATCATAGTTTAAATATTATATATAATGTATTTAAAAGTAAAAATATATATGAAAATAATATTAGAATTCGGATTTGGAATGGTAGCACTTCAACCCAAGCCCAATCCTAATTAAATTCAGGTTAAGATTTTTCAACCCAAATTTAACCCTAATTGTAAAAAAAAATTACCCAAACCCGAAAATCAGGCCAAGCTCGGTTGGGTCCGAATTACAAAAACCCAAGTTACACCCATAATAAAAACACAATAATTTGATGTTATGTTTTAGTGAAAATTTTAAAATACCAACGGTGCCCTTTCTATAAGAGAGTGAAAAAAATGAATTCCAACCGTGTCCCCGTTAAACAATAGTGATTCTTATTAAACCCTATCGGGAAAAATCTCAGAAGATCGCCTTCGAATTTTCTCGTCTCAAGTTTCTCATTTTCTTTATCTCGGTTCCCAATCAAAACAAAACTCAATTTTTACATACATATATATATATATACACACACACACACTTCATTTGTGTGTGTCTCATAATCATCTATAATTTTTCATTTATCTACCAAATGATTTTTTTCTTTCACTTTCCTAAGTTTTTTTCGACGACGGTTGCAATGCTCCAGTCGGCCTCCACGGGGACGAATGATCATTCCATATTCGATATTTTTAATTTTTTTTTTCCTTTACTTTTTTTTTTTCGCAAGGCTTAATTTTGAGAATTTTGCAAAATACATTCAATTGTTTATTGTTATAATTTTGGGTTAAATTGAGATGCTAACCCAATTGGGAATTTAGCAAAATTTATTCAATTATTTACTGTTCAGTTGTATATTTCCCCAGAGGTTATGGACTTGGGTTTTTGAAGTGCTTAGCTGGAATTGGAATCTTTATTAAGCACCTTTTTTTTTTTTTTTTTTTTTTTTTTTTTTTTCATAGTTCAAGCAATTCACATTTCACATTTCATAATTTTTATCATAGGCTGAATTATATTTATTTATATTTTACATATAGGTTGAAAATAGACAAGATTGTTAACACTGTTTGATAGTTATGAATATTGAATCATGTATGATCTATTGGGGAACAAGACCCTTGAAAATGGATGGATATTAACTATTTGTTAACAGTGCAGCAGTTGACTTGAAAAAGAAGGATGTGAGAACATACTGTATGAGCTCCATAGTGCCAACAATGATAGATTTAATGACTATATAAACATTACCTTGCTAATGGTCTTATAATTCCTTATGGCAAATCTGGTCTAATTTTTAATGCATCTCAGCCAATAGAGCAATGTTTATACACCTTGCTTGCATATGCCCTTTATTTCTGGCCTATTTTTCATACTGGTTGATCTCTATCTTGATTCAAATCCTATAGAATATACATAGTTGCATTCAATTTATTTGTTGGCCTTTGACCTTGTAAATGGTAAAGATTGACTATTTATGATTATGTGAAAAAAAAAATGCTACTCACACGTGCTAAACAGGCCTACTAAACAATGAGAGGTTAGTACACTTATAAGGAATGCCTCGTATCTATGTAGACGCGATTTAAAAATTGTGAATACAAAAAAATGTGCAACGTCGACAAGATGACAGAGTTATACAAGATAATGGGGTAAGAGCGTCCAAGACATTTGGGTTGGTGAGAGCTGCACAAGGCAACCCAAATCTGAACAGCTATACAAGGTAAGGAGAATATTACATCAACAACAATATCTCTGTTTCCCTGTTTTTTGGTTGGGTAGCAACTTTTATTAAACTTTTTCATCTACATTTTACAGAGGAATGAGAATGTTGCAATAACTAACGTCATTAAACTTAATTGTGACCACTCGAATTTTCAGGATTTATATTATATTTTTTTTTTCGGGTGATTAAAGTGGAAGATTATATTTTTCATTTTATGTATCCGTGGGTTGGATAAGCTTTATTTGATTATTTGTTTTGGATATTCATGCATCAATTCTACTGAGGCAAGTTATTGACAATTGATATAAATGAAGCCAAAAGCAAGTCAAAGATGCTAGTGGTTACGTATTCTAGTTTGGAAATTGGAATGGGTACTTGATTAGGAATTTTTTTTTTTTTTTTGTGTTTGTTTTTAGTGGAAGTAAAGTTTTTATTATTATTATTATTATTATATATACACATACATATATGGTGTCTGATAGGTGTAATGGAAAGAATGAGAACACTAGGAGAATTTGTGGTTGGGCTTAAAGAAAAATGGTTATGATGGTGGGGGGCCCCTAGGAGAATTTTTTGGTCAAAATTCTTTGGGGTTTGGCTACGCACGTGGCTGATTTTTTTTGAAGATAAGTACGGAAAGAAAGGTGGTGGCGGGGTCCACTATTGATTTATTGTCCTAAGCATTTGATTTGGTACTTGCATGCGTGATGGCATGAGATAGTGTGTGTGTGTCAGTGGAATACGTTTATATAACTAGTGTTTTGTGCACTGGGTGAGTGTTCAGAGAAAGAGCAGAGAGAGAAAGTTGGAGAAAAGACAGAGAGGGCCGAGAGCAGAGTAGTTGATGATCAGTGAGGAAAATTATTTTTAGATTTTTTATACTTTGAGTCGCTTGGTCATTTTATCTCATTATTTTGTGATTGTTATTTTTTGCTCAAATTGTAATTATATGTATTTTTGTTCAAAAGTATTGATATATTTTGTGGAACTAATTTTCATGAAAGCTCTTGAAAGTCTTGTTATGATTTTTTTTACTCGGACTTCTTGTCCCACCACCCTCCACTTTCAGGTACGAAGATGAACGTGAATTGTTACTTTCGGACTTAGGTGGAAGAGTTGGCATTGCGGATTTATTTTAATTATTTGGAGATTTTTGTATATATATTTGAGGAACTGATTTCTGTATAAATCAAGATTTAATGAGATTGAGAATTTTATTAGATTTTTCGATCGTTACATTAATATTCTAAAAATTAATCCGTAACTTCTTTGTCTCTCTTCCCACCATTCACAGTTTGAAGTCCTCTAGTACTCAACATGGCTCAGTTGGTGGGTAATGACGAGATAGAATCACCGAGAACAGAGCTAAAAAGTATCAGTTCCTCATTTCAGCATCACACTTCTAGTTTCCGAAGCAGTTCGGATTTGGGTTCTGTAATGGGTGATGAGGTTGATGATGAATGTGCATTGAAATGGGCTACCATTGAGAGATTACCCACTTTTGAAAGGTTGAGATCATCTTTGTTTGACCATGAATGTGGTGAAAATGGGGTTAAAGGAAAAAGGGTTATTGATGTTACTAAGCTTGGTGCTCTTGAATGTCATTTGTTCATTGAGAAACTTATCAAACACATTGAGAACGACAATCTTCGCTTGCTGCATAAAATCAGAAGAAGAATGGACAAGTAAGTTTTTTCTTTTTATGTCCATTAGGGGATGCATATCAACATACATTCATTGTGTATATATATGTGTGTGTGTGTATGTATATATAAAAGAATCTTGAAGTGCACATATATGTGGTTCTTTTTCCATACAACGAGTAAAGATCAATACTACTCACGAGTCACGCCTACTAAACAATGCGAAACAATAGTGATGTTCTCTTATCATTATGTATTGGCTATTTCGCATTGTTTAACACTAATGACTATTCAACTATTTTCTTACAAGAGTTATTGTGCTAAAATTTAATTTGGTTCTTGTAGAGTTGGTGTAAAACTCCCCACCGTGGAGGTGGGATATAAGAATTTACGAGTGGAAGCAGAGTGTGAGGTAGTTCATGGCAAGCCCCTTCCAACTCTATGGAATTCACTCAAAAGCATGCTTTTTGTAAGTATTTTAATTTTCAAAGTTCTTGTTATGATTTTTTTTTTTTTTTTTGAGTTCTGAAAAAATTTCCATCTTCAAAAAGCTTGGCATGTTGATAAAAATTGTTTCGGATTCAATCTCTGCAAATTTCTAATCCAATTCAATCCTAAGCAACCCCATTTCTGGGCCTTATATGAATTATATGTTTTCCCACGGACATTTGCTTGCTTGCATCGATAAATATTTTTGCTCTGTAAATATTTGAGTCAAACATTTGGGTTTTTTTTTTTTTTTTTTTTTGGGTTTATATAGCGAAAGTTAAATATTTGATGGACCAATTAAGCACTTGCCAGAAGAGAAGAAAATGATCCATTCCTTTAAATTATTTTATTTTATTTTATTTTATTTATTGGCGAGCACTCAATCAAGCCTTGTACTCTTAGCCTCTCGTATAAAAAGTTGAGGAGACACTACTTGAGCTTAAAGCCTTGGTTGTATCTATCGCTTGTTCTTGCTGTTTGGATACAAGAATTAATGTATGAATCCATGTGCTATGCATATTTTATCCCAAAGCAGCCTTTGCTGTGGTTGCAGCTCCCTATTTGTCGTTTTAAATTTATAATGATTGGTAAATTCTGTTAATCAGGATTTTGCTAAGTTGCCTGGGTTAAAGTCACAAGAGGCAAAGATAACCATCATTAATGATGTCAGTGGCATCATTAAGCCCGGGAGGTACGCAACTGAAACTTAATCTAACCAAACTTTTACTAATTTTCCACTTTGCATTATGTACCGTACCTGATGTATTTTATAGTTTTATTTCATTACCACTACTTAGGTTCCTTTTACTCTTGCTGATTACTTATTAGCGTCTCTAACTTGAAAGCAAATTATTTCATATACCAGTGAATGTGCGAGTCATTTGTCATCATGCCATGTGACCAACCAGCTTATCTGCTTTCCTCAGCTTCTTGTTTGTTATAATTTTCTACAACTTCTAATGAAACCATTCATTTTCAATTGTTTCCTTTATTGTCTTGTCACTTATCTAATTAATTTCATTTTTTTTCATCTAGTTTTTGCTTGTTGAGTTTAGTAATTTAATAGTTTATTTAAAGATGCTCATCTTTTTGCAGAATGACTCTACTGCTTGGTCCTCCTGGATGTGGGAAGACATCTTTACTGAAAGCACTTTCTGGAAATCTGAAAAAACCTCTCAAGGTTTCTACCTTTTTATACACTTCATCTTCTTAATAATAACCTTGTGCGAGACCTAAACAAACATTAGCATGCACAAAATAATTATCCTTAAAGTTGATTTATAGAGCAAATCTGCACAATTGAAAATACAAAAAGCTCAAATGAGACTTGTTTTGAACTTTAAATTTTCTCAAGTTCTTTTGGGTTGTAGTTGGCACAATGGCACTACTGTTTTCTTCTTAAAGAAATGGATTCAGCTGGTTTATTTCTTGCATACAGTCCCAAGGGCCTCACCATGCAAATTGTACTAAAATAGAGTCATTTAATCTTAATTTCAACAGGCAGAAAGTTGCCTCTTATATATATATATATATATATATTCAGGTTTTGAATCCTAGTAACTATTATGTAATATGTCCTTGTAAAATTAGAGTTAGCTGTTCCCTGTGTGTAGCATATACTCACAAGAACCATCTAATGTTAGAAATATTTATTGGTTACTACGGTGGGATAGCTTTTAAATCTGAGTCAATGAACAACGCAAGGGACTACCCTTCTAGATGTATGGCGCAGAGAGCAGATGATGTATTACAATGAAAAAGAAATGTTCATGTACCGCAATAAACGAGAACAGGTTAAGGTTGAAACTGTAGGCACTCTACACGATTGAAGACTTTAAACTCTTGCAGTGTGAAATAGGTCAACATATTGTATATTTTGTGTGTGTGTGTAAACATTATACATAATATTAATGGAATCTTGATTTTTCTTTTGATTGGTTGCCAATAGCTGCTTTAAGATGCATGTCATACTCTTCAAAATATTTTATGCTCTGTTCTATCAACAGGTTACAGGGGAAGTTTCTTACAATGGATTCAAACTGGAAGAGTTTGCACCCCAGAAAACATCTGCTTATATAAGCCAATATGACCAACACATTGCTGAGATGACTGTGAGGGAAACACTTGATTTTTCAGCCTGCTGTCAGGGTGTCGGAAGCCGAGCAGGTATGTCTGTTTTGAGCACAAGACTAAGATCATTTTAGCTGTGGAAATATGTATGGCTATAATTATAATGAAATAACTTTTCTTCCTGCAAAGAGATTATGTTTGAGCTCACCAGAAGGGAGAAACAGGCAGGCATTATTCCAGATCCAGACATAGATACTTATATGAAGGTAATTTTAGCATCTCTGCTCTTCTGCCTTTCCATGTTTATGGAGTTGTCATTATCTTCCATGAGGATAGAATGTATCATTTTTAAAATATCTTTTGGTTTTGTCGGAAATATTGATTGGAATATTTTTGTTTGTATGGATGGGGGCTCAGTTAAGCTCATTGGTTTGGCTATATATGGAAACTATATTGATTGAAATGCTTTCTTTTTCCATGGAAAGTTTGAAAATAACTTCTGCTGAGGTTTTGTTCTCTATTATTATTTATAATTTCCAACTAAAATGATGGAATTTTGGACTATTGCAGAAAAAAAAAAATGATTGATGAAAGCTCGCAAGCTCAATCCCCTACAAAAACAAATTTCTGATGAAATCTTGCAACATCAATCCTCTACAAAAACAATATTTACATGGCACAAATTATATTCTGTATCATATCATAGTTAGGACTTAGGACTTAGGAGTTATGTTATGGATTGAATGACAAAACAGGTTGAGATTGTTACAGTAATGGTGTGGATACTGTTACAAATATGTTATTTATGCCTTGTACATGCATCATCATTCCACGAGATTCAGTTGATGGGAACATATTCCATTGACCCACACACAATTTTATGATACACATTAAACAGACTCTCAGATCAGGTTGTTAGGATCAATAAGTATGAATTGCTGTATTAGTAGGGTGCATCCGAATCTCTGCTATCTGATTTAGATACCATCATGATAATGCGCTTAAAATGGTTTCTTGTTTGGAATTTAATTGGTCATTCCAATCTTCTTAACATATTAAGGGCTTGAGTCACAAAGTTAAAAACATGCATTGTAAAATGCAAGTCGATATGGATCAATGCATAATAACACAGTAAAGTTGCTCTTAACATGTCTGAAGTTCTTTATGCAGCTGGCAGCATGTATTTTTTAATATTATAACCATCTTTTGTTTTAACAGGCAATTACTGTTGAAGGACAAAAGACAACTCTTCAGACTGACTACATTTTAAAAGTAATTCTCTTTAAACGGAACTGATAATGTGCTTCTTCTTTGTACACTAAAGATGGCCAAATGCTTTGCCTGTTGATGATTTATCAATCTTTGCCATGATTTCTCAGATTCTTGGACTTGATATCTGTGCGGATACACTGGTTGGAGATGCCATGAGAAGAGGTATCTCCGGCGGCCAGAAGAAACGATTAACTACAGGTAGTTTGAATACAGAAATATGACAGATTTATCAGATAGTACAATCACTCACTGTCACTATAGTATTATATTTAGCTCTGGAATTATTAAAATTAATCCCCTATATTAGACAATCTTTCAATTCCAACTTCCACATAATTGAAGTGAGTATCTCAATATATGTATATAATTTAAGATTGGGTTTCCTTGTATTTTGCAGGGGAAATGATTATTGGTCCAACAAAGGCTTTGTTTTTGGATGATATATCAAATGGCTTAGACAGTTCCACCTCATATCAGATTGTTGCTTGCCTCCAACAGTTGGCACATATCACAGATGCTACAATACTTGTGTCACTTCTTCAGCCGGCACCAGAAACCTTTGAACTCTTTGATGATATTATCTTGATGGCAGAAGGGGAGACTGTGTATCATGGATATCGCAGTCATGTTTTAGACTTTTTCGAGGATTGTGGGTTTCGGTGCCCTGAAAGGAAAGGGGTTGCTGACTTCCTCCAGGAGGTTAGTTCATCATGGCTCATAGTAAATTCCTTTTGTGTTTGTATATCTTCAAAATAAACTTAACATATTGACTGCCTGGCAGGTTATTTCAATGAAAGATCAAGCACAGTATTGGCACCGGACTGAACAACTTAATAGTTATGTTTCTGTTGATATGTTCTCTAGGAAATTCAAGGAATCTCCTTCTGGGAAGAAGCTAGATGAGGAGCTCTCTAAGTCATTCATAAAGTCCCAGAGCCATAACAGTGCCATTTCTTTTAGCGCGTGTTCTCTTTCTAAGTGGGCACTCTTTAAAGCTTGCATGTCAAGGGAATTTCTTCTCATGAAAAGGGATTCTTTTCTTTATGTATTCAAATCAATCCAGGTTATAGTCAGTATTTTCTCTTTTTTTTTCTTTGCGTTTTATGCCTTTGGAAATGCATTCTTTAATCATTACTGCATTTCAATCAATGTTATGTTGTTGGTCTTCTATGTCTAAGGTCTGAAATATAAAAGGCATCTTTTTTGCAGCTTGTCATAATTGCATCTATGATGATGACTGTATTTTTTCGAACTCGGATGACTATTGATGTTGTTCATGCAAACTATTTTCTGGGGGCTCTTTTCTTCACTCTCATGATTCTTATAATTGATGGATTTCCAGAAATGTCCATCACTATGGCAAGACTTCCAATTTTCTACAAACAGAAAGAACTGTACTTCTACCCAGCTTGGGCCTATGCAATTCCAGCTTCCATTCTCAAGGTCCCTCTTTCGTTGTTGGAAGCTCTAGTTTGGACATCTCTAACTTATTATGTAATTGGATACAGTCCGGAGGCTGGCAGGTGAATGTAACATGACTAAGGCTTAAATTTTTTTTTTTTTTTTCCTTCACACATATATTATTGAAATAGGTCACCACTATCCCCACCTATCTTTGGATCATTGACTCACCTGTTGTTAATTTTTTCGTAGACTAGTTAAACTTCATGTGTACTCTATAGAAACATGCATGTTCATGTTGTAGTTGCCGGAAAGAAAGGATTAACTTCTAAAATCAGCAGTGTTTCACAGGTTTTTCCGCCAGTTCATTCTCCTTTTTGCTGTGCACTTAACATCAATGTCCATGTTCCGTTTCTTGGCATCAGTATTCCAGACCGCCGATGCTTCTACAACAGCTGGTAGTTTATCAATATTATTTGTCTTACTGTTTGGTGGCTTCATTATCCCAGAACGTAAGTTTTCAATAACTCATTTCCAAAGTGGTCTTAGGGATAATGCCCTAAAGAATGCTAAATTGTGTCGTTGGTTGCAGCCTCTATGCCAGTATGGTTGAAGTGGGGATTTTGGGTTTCCCCAATAACGTATGGTGAGATAGGCCTTGCTTTAAATGAATTTCTTGCTCCAAGATGGCAAAAGGTATCTTTTTAGAGTACGAGTATGCTTGATGAATTATATGCTAATACAGTTTCTCAAAAGCAAGGGAGGATCACATCGGTCCAAAGAACCATATGTTGAAAGCACTAGCTAGTATAATAACCATAGGCATCCTTTTCAGTGATATGTGTATTTTATTTTACATAAGTTACCATTATCAAGAAGTACACCAACAATGATGATGAGGGCATCTGGGAACAAAATGTCTTTTTACTTTTGGATAGCCAACATGAATCAATTTCCTGACTTCATCAACTATGCATCTATTTGATGTTCATATTAGTTCTATCCACACAGTCTTAGATGTTCTCATTTCTGATTATGTTGTTCCATACTTGTCCATAAACAGTTAAACACTTCATTTATCTGGGTGCTACATCATATTGATGTGTTGCTTCTCCTACCAATGCTCCCTCTTATTATACTTTTTGCTAGAATATGCTACGTATTTCTATTCTCCACATATTCTGATACCTCACGTATTTAAACCTTTCAGTGAATAACATGATAGTAATTATGATTTGTTGTTAGTGGCTTATGATCATCTTTGAGGTCTTAAAAGTAGATACAATTGGGCACTAGTTCTGGATGTATGATGCGTAAAACTTTCTCCTTTAGCATCCTCTTATTATTTTGCCTATTATGTTTTTATGGTTTATTTTATTATCCGAAGAAGATACGCGTACACTGTGTATTCTCTGCTCATTCTTTTATGCAGATGTCGACCACAAACACAACATTAGGACAAGAAACACTTGAAAGCCGTGGATTGAACTTCAATGCATACTATTTTTGGATATCAGTTGGTGCCTTATTTGGGTTTGCAATGATTTTTAACATCGGGTTTACCTTGGCCTTAACGTTTTTAAAACGTAAGTATATCTTTCTAAATGGATTTCAACTGGAAAAATGATAGATTGATATATTTTATTCACGTTTCGATTTGCCTCTAGCTCCGGGTTCACGTGCTATTATTTCAAATATAAAGCTCTCCCAGTTACAAGGAAGTGCAGATTCGACCAATAGTGCCAATGTGGAAGATAACTCCAGTAATTCTTCACCTAGAGCTATTAAAGTACCTTGTAAAGGTCAGGCATAAATCTTTTCTTCCCTGTTTTAATAATTCTGAGAGAACTGTTTCCTGCAATTTTATTCCTTTTATGTTGTTATCAATATTTTCATACTGCTGTTAATCAAGGTTTCTTTATTTTATTTTACAGGCGGAATGGTTTTACCTTTTGAACCTTTGACTTTAGTTTTCCAGGAAGTGCAATACTATGTTGACACCCCTTCGGTAATCATATAAACATTACCATATAACTATTAAGTAGCTGTAGGGATAGCAAGACTCATTAATCAAATTTTATTGGGTAATTTTATCAGTTTCTTTTGGTTTCAGGAAATGCCACAATGGGGTTTCACTGAGAAAAAGCTCCAACTTCTATGTGATATTACAGGTGCATTTAGGCCTGGTGTTCTAACAGCAATAATGGGTGTAAGTGGAGCTGGGAAAACAACTCTTTTGGATGTTCTTTCTGGAAGAAAAACTAGTGGCACTATTGAAGGACAAATTAAAATTGGAGGATATCCTAGGGTTCAGGAAACTTTTGCCAGAATATCGGGTTATTGTGAGCAAACTGACATACATTCTCCACAAATTACTGTAGAAGAATCAGTTATATTTTCTGCTTGGCTGCGTCTGCATCCTCATATTGATTCAAAAACCAAATATGTAAGGCCTACGCATGAGGAAGTTGAATTTACATATATTATTTATATATCATTTTACTTAAATTGCTTTTACATGTCTTCATAGGAATTTGCGACAGAAGTCCTTGAGACCATTGAGCTTGATGGAATCAAAGATGCCTTGGTGGGCATACCAGGTGTTAGTGGCCTATCAACCGAGCAACGTAAGCGGCTCACAATAGCTGTGGAGCTTGTTGCTAACCCCTCTATTATATTTATGGATGAACCTACATCTGGACTGGATGCAAGAGCAGCTGCAATTGTCATGCGGGTGGTCAAGAATGTGGTTAATACAGGAAGAACAGTCGTTTGCACCATCCACCAACCAAGTGTTGACATATTTGAGGCATTTGATGAGGTAGGAAAACAAATGCTAGCGATAACTATTTCAGGGAAGTTTAGATCATAAACTTAATTTTGGTGCTGAAAGAATTAACCACATGAGTTTGATCACCAGTGATTGCACTCTATAAACTCAATTATGTATGCTTAGTCCAGGAAATTACTTTTCCAGTTGTCATGCACTAACCAAGCAATATATGAAAACCCAAGCAACATAAATCGTTAGACCTCATGTTTTGCAGTCTTTGATAAATCCCAGCATATCCACTCAAAAAGAGACATGATAAGTAAGTGGTTTATATGGTACTCCTTGGTGCTTGTATTGAAGCTATTGTGTTTATTGACATAACAAATTACTGGTTAAGTTCTGATTAGAGCTCCGTATATAACTGTTACCAGAATTGGAAATTAACCAAATTTCCGTAGAACTAAGTGATAAGATTCCTATGGCTTGTTGATGTTGGATGTGCCTTACCACCAAAATCGGTCAAATCTATTAATAATATAGCAAGAGATTATAGATGTTTTTTTTTTTTTTTTTCCATTCTTTCTATTTCTGGGAAAATTCAGTTTTAATTATTTTCTTGTATTCAAATATAATAATTATGATTAAATACAAATAAGTAATGTCTAACACTGCTATTATATTCACTGCAGTTAATTCTGTTGAAAAATGGTGGATGTATGATCTACTCTGGACCATTGGGTCACCATTCAAGTAGCGCCATTGAGTATTTTGAGGTCAATTTGCTACATCAACACATGGACCTCTTACAACTTCTTTCCTCTTTTACTATTGCGCCCGATATTCCTGTATTCCATTTAACCATCTCTCAACAGGGTATCTCAGGTGTGCCGAAGATCAGAAATAATTACAATCCAGCATCATGGATATTAGAGGTCACTTCCGCATCTGCAGAAGCTGAACTTGGTGTAGATTTTGCCCAAATATACATGAAATCTGTTTTATATGAGTGAGTTAACTTCCAATCATTTCTCTGATTGTGCATCTCTGTGAAATTAGACAGTTCATTACAAAGTTGCTAGATGCAACAAATGCAGAGGAGTCTACCTTCTCAAATAAATATCATATGAAGATCCAGTACATGGTTAGTTTTAGTACCATAGGCCTACCGATCTGATAACCCACAATTCTTGATGTAAGAGTTAAGAGACGGTAACATTAGAGGCAAGGAGAGAAGGAACTGTTTATTGCAGTAAGCAGAGATACCATAATGTCTTTACACAATGAGGTTTTATTGTTTGTCAGGAACGTGGGGCGGGGGATTATTGGAGCTTAAAGACTAAATATTGGTTATATGACCATCTGTTCACCACATTGCGGCAAAGTCTGGATATTGCTTAGCTGCAATGAGAAATTATTCTAAATAGCTGCTGGACTGAGGCTATTTGTGACGTAAATAATTTCAAATAGGTTCTATCTGGAGTCTTTCTAGATCATGTTCAGCTGCTTTCCAGCCATATCATACACGTGATTTCAACTAAATTCTCATTCATGAACTAAATTCTTATAGTTCTTGTTCAGTGTGTGACATTGCATCTAAAACTCAAAATTTTGAGCCAGTTACTTGATGTTTATAGTTAACTAGAGTTCTGAACGACTTTGTTATTATATAATTATCTAATCTTCAGTGTTCAGTATTAAAAATGACAACAGTATCAGGCTTGCTGCTAGTTGGATACTGGATGGTGCATTTGTAATTGATCTATTACTGTATAGTAACTTACAGTTGACTTATTAAATGCTGGAAATTAAGTGTGAAAACCAATTGTTCTCCATAAAGCATTGATTTGTTTGCGATAACTGGTATTCTGGTATAAGATTTTTTACATTTGGATTGTACATGACTCCTTCTCTGTTATTCTGATTGTAGGAACAATAACGAGATTGTAAAGAGGTTAAGTGCTCCGCCTCCTGGTTCAAAAGAATTGTCTTTCCCAACCCAGTTTTCACAAAATGGTTGGGGACAGTTCAAATCCTGCCTCTGGAAACAGCATTGGTCTTATTGGAGAAGTCCTTCATACAACTTACTGCGTTCCTTGCATTTACTTATTGCATCCTTGCTTTTTGGAATACTGTTCTGGGATCAGGGAAGGAAAATGTAAGTAAATCGAGTTAAAATAAGGTCAGGTTTTAAGTGATACAAGAACACAATTCAAATTAGCTTTGGCATATGGTGATATCCATTTGGCTAAATGAACCTGTTATATAAATCCTTCTCCTCGTTGAGATGGTTTATTAGTTTGAAGCAGCCTCTTCCTAGTTTTGGAATCTGACTTCTATAGCAATCGACCCAGCATCATAAAGTTAAGGAAAACATAATATGAAATACAGTGGAAATGGATATGACAGTGCATAGGGGTAAATATTGTCATTTTGCACATCATTTATGGGAAACATTTTGTTCCAGAACTAATGCATTGTATTTCATATATTGCATTGATATGGATGACTGGTTAAAAGGGTCATTTCTTGATACAATGGTAAAAGCGCGAGCTCTCAAGTGCAAGAGCACGTGTTCAAGTCTCAAAGCTGCCACTTTATACAAAATAATGACAGATTATGTTTGTCTCTAATCTTCCCCTCTATCACCCCATGTAGGCACCACATACATTGAATAATGCAGTCATGGATGACTGTTGACTGCAGAATATGATATTAGTTTGTTGCTTGACTTATCGTAATTCATTAAATAAAAGTTCAAACATTTTCGGGTTAGTTCCATATCTGTTAGATTTCACAGATGCACAAGTAAGATTCTTTAAGAAGTAACTTCAGATTAATGTGGTCTGTAGTTGAATATTTCTTAGACAAGGAGTCAGCGCAAAATGCAGTTTTCTATATTCACTGAACTCCTTCTCTGTTATTGGAAGGACTTCTGAAGATTTTAACATTGATTTCCTTCAGGACTTCTCAAGATTTCTAACGTTAATTTCTTTTTCTGGACAGAAATAACCCACAGAGCTTGTTCGGTATACTTGGTTCTATGTTCCTTGCTCTGACTTTCTTGGGTGTAAATAATTCCTCGACGGTTTTGCCCTATGTCTTGACAGAGCGATCCGTTCTTTTTCGGGAAAGATTTGCAGGGATGTACGCTTCATGGGCTTATGCACTTGCACAGGTACTTCTTGGAAACTTTTTGAATCAGTGATACACTTGATTTGATCAAAATCCAATCAAGTTTGACCTCAATTGACTTCAGAGCTTAATGATGTTGAATTGAGTTGGATCTTTCCTGGGTTCTTGATGGACATTTCGAGAATAACTCATAGTTCTTCCTGAAGTGGGAATGTTTAGCTGGATAATTAGCAATAGGAATACCTTTTCCTCTAGAACAGTAGCTTTGCTGTACTATTGAGTCACAATTTATTTTTTGTTTATTATTATTATCATTATTTTAAACATCGTAAAAACCAAACTACCAATCCTTTTCTCCATCTTCACCCTCTCCCCCTCACGTACTTCAAGAGTATTTGATCATCCTCTCCTCCTTCAAATAAAGATGTATGTTGTTACATCTTGTGGGTGTCATTTATTGGGAGCTGACATGGCATGTTGACAAGTCAAAACGACGCTAACCAAATCAAAAGCCTCGAAGGACCAACCCTCGAGCACCCTAAGCCCTGGCATCGCTTCAGGCTCATCAAGCCTCGAAGGATCAAACTTCGAGTACCCTAAGCCCTGGCATCGCCCTAGACCCATCAAGCCTTGAAGGATCAAATTTCGAGCACCCTAAGCCCTGATATCACTCCAGGCCCATCAAGCCTCGAAGGATCAAACTTCGAGCACCCTAAGCCCTGGCACCTCTCCAGGCCCATCAAGCCTCGAATGATCAAACTTCGAGCACCCTAAGCCTTGGCATCGCTCCAGGCCCATTAAGCCTCGAGGAACCAACCATCGACCACCCTAAGCCCTGGCATCACTCCAGATCCATCAAGCCTCGAGGAACCAACCCTCGAGCACCCTAAGCCCTGACATCGTTCCAGGCCGATCAAGCCTCGAGGGATCAACTATCGAGCACCCTAAGCCCTGGCATCCCCCCAGGCCCAGCCAGCCTCGAGGAACTAACCTTCGAGCACCTCAAGCCCCGGTGTTACGCCAGGCAATATCACTTTGAAGGATTGGAGCCCTAGAGGGCTCGCCATCAAAGGTTTGCGTATAACATGAAACGAAGGTAGGGTCTTCGCGGTTGTAAGAAACCTATGTTTGGGAAACTTAGGAGGATCTTGGATTGGTGGATAAGAAGTCAAGGTGTCTTCCTAGCCTTCGCTCTTAGCAAGGCCCAATTAACAAGATGATGGGATTATACATGTTATGACAACAAAACTTAAAATCACATTTAATGCTGCGTCAGGCTTGACCAACCGGCGGCTAAGCAACATTTAATGCCCTTGATTAAGGGAGAAGTGACATGGCAATGTAGTGCAAGGCTCGATGAGAGGATTAGACTATTCAAACTCCTAAACCTCCAGGATTACCCACGTAATCCAGATTGGGAGTAATGCATGCGAGGAACTATGCACGGAAAAGACCATTGGATAATGACCAATGGAATCTGGGCCTATAAATAGTACTGTCCTATGAAGGAATAACCAACCCAGAAGAGGAAGCTGTCATAGAATACTGTATACTTGCCCTACCACCATCTCAATCTTGATGATTGGTCTTCTTCTCCTCCTCCTACACTAAGCTTCTCCTCTGTTTCCTTCGTATTTGTATTCTTGATATCACTGTTGTATACTTATTTACTGTTTGATAAAAAAAGAACCCCTACACATCTTTACTGCAACAATGTACTACCCAACCCACCACAATCAAATACTAACAAAGCTAATTACTCATAATAGCTAAGAATGAAAATAGTAGTTGATTGCTAAGATTCCAATAGTTTATTGTATTCCTATACTTGTACAATTTATGTTATGTAAGTTTCCAAGCATAAAAAATATTATGAAACTGCTTCCTGCTTCCTGCTAATTGAAATGTGTTGACCGATTGCATAGGTGATAATTGAGGTTCCCTATCTCTTGGCCCAGTCACTTGCATTTGTGGTCATCACATATCCAATGATCGGGTATTACTGGTCGGCTTATAAGGTTTTCTGGTACTTCTACACCATGTTTTGTACATTGCTTTACTACACTTATCTTGGAATGCTGCTCGTTGCAATAACGCCAAGCTATCCAGTAGCTGCAGTTTTACAGTCAACTTTCTACACAGTGTTTATCTTGTTTGCTGGATTTTTGATTCCTCAACCGGTAAGATACTGATCTCCATTTAGTATTTTCTTTTCCCTGAATGAGGCTGAAATTCTGCTACATTTTAAGACTATTAACTTGGATGAAGCTCTAAAATGTCATGATAGGAGAACAAATAAGAGCCATAGGTGTTAGGAGGAGTAGAATGGGTATAAACTTAGACTGACTATATTTTTACAAAGTGAATGCTCTGAGACTCGAGCTTAATTTACTAGCATACCCTGCAACGGCCTAATGCTAGAAATTTCAGGATGAGGGATTTTTTTCTGTAAGAATTCTTGTCAAATTTTAAATAGTGCATTTCTCAATTGTTCTTCTTCTTTTGATCTTATTTTTAAGTTTAAAAGCAATGTGCCTGCCATCTGAAAATTGGTTGATAATATGAACGACAAAATAAAAGAAATATAAAATAATAATACTAATAATGTTTTTAAGCTCTCAGCATATCTTTTTTTTTTTTTTTTTTTTTTTTTTTTTAATGTTTGTGCATTAATGGGAATCATTTCAAATTTTATAGGCTTTTTTGATGTTCAAGACTTCCTTCCATTGGTTTTTGGATTTTAACTGTGTAGATATGCCAATCCAATTGTGTTGTTTTTTGGTTGCAGCAAATCCCCAAGTGGTGGCTCTGGTTGTATTATCTATGCCCTATGTCTTGGACACTAAATGGAATGCTTACTTCCCAGTATGGGGATATAGAGAAAGAGATTATGGTGTTCGGAGAAGCCAAAACTGTCGCGGCATTTTTGAGAGATTACTTTGGATTTCACCACGATCAATTACCCATAGTTGCTGTTGTTCTCACTGTATACCCCATTATTCTTGCTCTTCTTTTTGCATTCTGTATTGGGAAGCTTAAATTCGAAAAAAGATGAATGTTTTGCAAGGTCATTTCTTCATGATTTCATTGCTTTTCTAATCATTGTGGTTATGGGTTCATAACTTTAATGTTCATATGCTATCTTCTCTGCCAGATGACTGCAACTTTGGAGTAATTAAACAAATTCATTACAAAGTGACTTGAGATTGGATACATTTAGGCTCCATTTGTTTGGATGTAAAATATTTTTAAAAATATACATATACATATATATATATATATATATATATATATTTTGTAGTAGTTGGTTGTTGGGATTAGAGTTTGTGTTTTTTACTTATTTTATGAAAGTTAAGGGTTTAAGTCTTGTGGAGACATGTTGGTGTGTGCCTTTTTTTTCAATAAATTAAAAATAATAATAATAATAAATCCATCGTTTCCTATGAAACCAAGCATTGACAAATCATTTAACAAATGAAAATATAAATATGATTTAATACATTTCATATTTCGTTTTTTCTTTGGCCCTCCTACTACCAGTCCTCTGTACCTCCAGTCCGTCCATTTCATTTTTTCTTTGGCCCTCCTACTACCACGTAGCCCTCCTTTGGTTGATATGTCTTCTTGACTTTAATGCTTCTTGTTCTTACAGAAGTCTTTAACTTTGACTGTTATGTTATCTTGATCTTCAATGATGTCCTCTGGTGGATTTGTCTTCTTGACTTTAATGCTTCTTGTTCTTATATAAGTCTTTATACTTTGTCTTTAACTTTGACTTCCATGGTGTCTTGAACTTAATGATGTCCTTTGGTTGATATGTTTTCTTGACTTTAATGTTTCTTGTTCTTATGGAAGTCTTTAATTTTGACTTTAATGTTATTGCAGGAGTGGCACTTTGTGCTGACGGATCAGGTCGTGTCAGAATATGAATTTTTCGTTATATGGATCGAAACGAACATGATATGATTATTATTGATATTAAAAATTTTTAATATAAATATGACATGATTATTACACGAGTAACTCATTTTAAAAATTATTCAAGACTTGACATAACACGAAACGATACAGATACGTTTAAGTCATTTATTACACGAACGCAACACATTTAAATAAATGGGTCATTTTTCACACGAATATGACACGTTTATTTGATACGTTTAGTTAAATAGGTTACTCGGATTATAATCAAGTTGACAGATCAAATATGAATACGACATATTTAATTTTCTTGTCAATTTGAATTGACATTAACATGATTAAGTCAAATCCAAGCCCACGTTGAACTCTATGTCAGTGAACTAAAGATAGTATCATTTTGACACAAGAATTGACACGAAGATGATTAGGTCAAATCCAAGCCTATGATGAACTCCATGTCAATAAACTTAAAGACGGTGTCATTTTGATACGGACACAAAATGCCCTCCGCATAAGAGGGGTCATCTTCCATGTTCATCCATACACACACCTTTCACCCCTACATTTGTGGCCTATTTCATATTGGTTACACTTCAAATCTGACCTCTATTAATGCTATAAATTCGATGGTTGTATTCATGAAAATCTATGGGTTTTAACATTATAAAAGGAGTTTAATTATTTGTTTTTTTCTTTGTGCCAAAAATGTTAAATTAAGAGTTAGTAAGTAGGTTGCGAAGACTCAAAGCCGGACTCCTTAGAACAAGGGGAACAACTCAACAACTGAGTTACAAAAAGGTCAGCGTATTGTATTAATTAGAACTCCATAAATATTACTCAAAATTTGGTTCATTTTAATCAACATTTAACGAATTTAGTATTCGCTTTATCTATTAATTGTTTTATTCATGCCACTCTCTCTGTATATTATGTGTGTGTGTGTGTTTAAATATCAAATTATCAATATATGCATGTTCTGAATTAAGTAATGTCATTTGTACTACTTTAGGTCTATGTAGCTCAATTATTTTTATTTATTTATTAATAAAAATAGAATATGATTTAATACATTACTTGGTCAAATCTCCTAGGTTGTATCAAATATATTGGGCTGTAAATTCCTAAAGCATGTGTATAATATTAAGTACTAGTATTTCTTAAATATATTATATATGTGTGTTTAAATATCAAATTATCAATATATGTTCTGAATTAAGTAATGTCATGTATACTACTTTAGGTCTATGTAGCTCAACAATAGAATATGATTTAAAACATTACTTGGTCAAATCTCCTAGGTTGTATAAAATATCAATCACACACACACACACACATGTTGTAAAATACTAAAGCATGTGCATAATATTAAGTACTACAGTATTTCTTAAATATATTGTATAAGACAACGGCTCCATTGTTCACTTGGTTAACCTTGACTGAACCGCGGCCGGCGGTATATATTGTATACACACACATCATGATGATGTTTTCCACAGCATATACCATTCCTTAATTAAGCATATAATTTTGTAAATTCATTGTTATTTTTATTATATTATTGTTTTTAATGTATGAAAAAATGTCTTTTCAAGCTTTCTAAATCTATTCTTGATTTTTTTATTAAATATTGAGCATGACATCAGCAAGTAAAAGTGTCAAATTTTATGACATGTTAGTGTTACCTAGACCTGAAAGAGATGAGATCCTATTATATTTGAAACTTAATAAATGATCAATTTTAATGACTCCACAAAATTGTATTAATATATTACAAAGAAATCTTAGTCCAAAACTATCTAATACTTTATTTTACGAAAAAAGGCAAATGCAGTTAAACCTATATATATATATATATATATATATAACACTTCTCCACTACCACAACCATAGAGTTTCTCTTCTCTCAACCACCACGGACTCCTCCCGCTCTCTCTCTCTCTCCCCCCCACTTTCTCCGCTGCGGCCACTTCTTCTGACCAACTTACAAAACAATATGACCTACATTATCACTTAAAACTCCACATCAAACATAATGATCGTTGAATATAATATATCTAAGTGTAAAATAGTTAGTTACAAAAAAAAAAAAAAAAGTAATCATATGGGATTGTAACTGTACTTGGATAAATTTTTTGCTCATTGATGTACAAGAGATTATTTTGTGTGTGTGTGTGTGTGTGTATATATATATATATAACATGGTAGCGTTTAAGAGAGAGCACGGAGGTGTTGGGTGGAAAACCTGTCTTTGTATACAATTTGCGAATTAATTTGCATAATAAAGGTCTCTGTTAAGATATTAGTTTGTATTTACCAAAAAAAAAAAAAATTGATATTAATCTGCAAAGTTTTTAAATTAATTTTATAAATTTTGCATAATTAATTTGTAACGTGTGATCATATATTAAAAATTCTATATAATAAAACGTCAAATTGTCTTAAGTTAATTTACAAAAAAAAAAAAAAAAAAAATGAATAATTTACAAACTTTACAAATTAAATTTTAATAAAAGTATATATTGCAAGTAAAAAATTAATATGTGTGTAAATATAATTTTAAATCTTGTAAATTAAACCTTAAGAGTTAAGAGTAAACATGTAACCTCAGTTCCTCACACTCTTGAAGGGAATTTTGAAACTTTTTCAGATTGAGTTAAAGGCAAACTAGCGCACTGGACCTAATTGTTTGTACGATTTTTAAACTTGTTTTGACCAAAGTTAATCTGCGTCAATAGTTAAAATCTCAAGGGGTCCGAAGATAATTTAATCTGTGTCAATTCAATAATAAATACAAAAATTCAATATGTTTCAAATTAAAAAACAAATTACTGATTGATTGAGAATCAAAGATAGAAAAATTATACACAAATATTAAAATTTAATATTTTAAATTGGAGAGAAACATATTGTTGAAAGTTGTTAATTAGACTATTTGTCACAACTGTTTTAAGCTAGAATGAAGACTCCAATGATGATCATGTAATGTGGTCCTCTGAGTTGGCTGTAGGAGTTTGGTAGCAGTTGAAGCTTATCTTGAGGCTTGTCAATCCATGGGGTTGTCTCTTTCAGATTTGCTTTCCTTGTTTTGATATTCTGAATTTGTTAGTGTTATATACACACACACACACACACACACACACACACTACGTATAACTTATAACTTGGGTATGCCCTAGTTAGGTTTACTTGTCCTTTCTTGGTTGCCTTTTCTTTCTGTCATTGTTCATATTTATAAAATTCTAGCCCATTCAGAAAAAATAAAAATAAAAAACCAAAAACCAAAAAAGTTGTTTAAACTTATTAATGCCTAAATTAGTGTTTGAGGAATAAGAAGCTCCTCCTTCTGCCCCCTTATTTTGTTCCCTTTCTCTTGTCACTTTTTATTTATATAGAAAAGAAAATAGTTTATTTTATTTTATTGATGCAATTTAATGACTTTTCAAATAAACTTGTCACAATTGTTAACCATTGCGGTAAAGTGACCAGCTGCAACCAACTAGGCATTTGCTTTCCAACCAAAAGACAAGTTCTTTTTTATAACATTTTCTCACAAACTCGTAACGGTTGTATTGTAGCTGGATCACACATCTTTCCCTATTAACGGAAAACTCAATAATGACTTAATTAAATCCGGACTTTACCATGAACGCTATTAACGAGAGGGTTCAATAATGAATTAAACTCGGACTCCACCCAGGTGAATGCTTGGCATAACACGAGATTAATAATTAAGTTTGACTTTGATACCAAACACTAATAACAATTGAATACTTATTCTGTGACCTAAAAATTTAAGTTGCTAAATAGTGTCGGATGGGCGAGTGTGGATCATGTCCACTGCGTCAGAGAAATAAAACCCCTTCCCATATATTTATAGATTTGAAAAATCTATTTAAAAATCATTTTACTTGTTTAAAGCATCAATTTTTTTTTTTTTTTTTTTGCTAATTTTTTAATAATCTCTTTTTAATATATATATATATATATATATATATATATATATATATTGCTAATTTTATAATAATCTCTTTTTTTAATATAATGTTAGTATATTTGATTACTCCGCAATTTAGACAAAAATGAAAGTGTTATGGTTGGATATCTTGGGTAAAGAAGGATATTTTAGTAGGTAAATTAACATCCCAATGATGTAGGCATCGTCTTGTGCCAGGAAGATACTTGTAGATTATTACAATCCCATAGTACTTGGCATAAGTGGTTAACACCAATCGAGCTTTAATATTC